TTTATTCTTCGAAATCGAATGTAATCGAGTGCACTTGCATTACTTGTCTCGTAACATGTGCATGTGAAGATTGCAATGTTCTATGTCGTCAATATTTCACTAATCTACAGATCAATCTCTCGACAAGTCGGCACAAAAGCATGTTATTGCATCTCAGCAGCGTAATAATTAATTCAAAGCATTATTGTACAATCTGTTGTCGATATTAAAACGCATTTAAACACGACTAAAGAAAGATGTAGAGTCGTCAATGCAAGAATGAACTAATTTTTATACTTACAATACCAAAATCCTAAAAATTCTATGTATATATCTGAAATTTCACAACATATTTCTCTATAAGAATATACGTACTCGCTGTTTACACGAAACAATATTTATTATGCGAACCAAAGTAGGTGTGTACATAGCTGATCGGAAATTCGATCCCCGCATCTACATCTAAAACATCCAAACATTTGTACTATATTGTTTTATATGTTTATCTATCTTAATCACATATGTAAAAAAATGTTTTCAAGTATGCCTGCCACTTGTCTATTTAAGTGATTAGTACAACCTCTATTTTGTTAGTAAATGATGTTGTTAAAGTTGTATGAGGTTAATTCTAAAATTTTATAATTTGTTGTAAAGAAGTCAGTTAATTATAAATATAATTTATTGATGTTGTATTATAAAAATAAAAAATACTTCAATAGTTACTCCTGACGTCCCCTGTCCTGGGCTGTAGGTACATTAGCGATGCATTTTGATATGTCATCGTGGCAGCGTCGGTAATGCCCTTTGTGGAAGCCCTCGTCGACTCAAACCGATTGTAATCCCTTTTTATACTGCATTATTCAAATTATCAACACTTTTGTATCAGTACTGCTGACAACAGAATTTTAAAAATACATGCACGTTTAGTCTTAAATTGGTATATAAGAATATAACAAGCCGAATGCTAGTAGTAGTTTTGATAAAACTGAAGAAATGAAGCTAGGGGTACTTTATTCAGGCGAAGGGAACTGTTAAATGTTATACTAGAATCTTTATCCAAATTACAATTTTATTTCAGATGATCATTTCATATGATATTAATGAAATACAACATTTTTTTTTTTCAAACATTTACCTACCTTATTTTTCCCAATGTGATACGGTTTTCATGAGTAGTCTACCTGACTTTTGATTTAGTATAGTCTTTGCACCTGACTTTATATATAGGTATATGGACTCTATCGTGTGTATCAAAATTTTTACAGTAGCGAACCTGTGACAATCGCATGCGAGGCAATGTGCTAAACCTTTACACCACTAAGAGCATACACCAATATCCCTAATATCACATAAATGAGCAAGCATCATAAAGATACGTGTAACGCATTTTATTGCAACGGTGTCACCGATCGTATCGCAACACGTAACATTAAAGTCCAGAATATTGAACGTTACAATTTCTCACGTGTTAGCCGATGTCTTAATATTACATGTTAATACATAATACATGCGATCATTCGCAGTGACTAACTGAGAGTTGTGTTTATGAAAATATGTATTTTGTATTAATTTGCTTTCTTCTTACATAGATATATTAGAATAAATACTATTTGCTTAGGCCGTATGACTATTAACTAAACTTACAAGTTATTAAAGTTTTCTCATTCTCGTTGCACCAAATCTACTCCTGTAATATTTCAAAATACTATCCTCTTTTATTCTTTTTTTGATAGACATTATTTATGCTTATTTGTATGTATTAGATGTTGTTAAAATTTGAGTTTAGTTTAAACGGCCACTAGCATTTTGCATCTATACTTAGTATTTGGAGTTAATTATAGAAAATAATTCTAAAGTCATATTGCGTGTAGGTATACATTAATTTCTGTTGGAAAGAGTTTTGTAATACTATCCTAGTTATTCTGTACTAGTTCTATACATTTAGGTATTTGTTATATAAATCGAAAATGACTAAATCTAATTCTACGAGTAGGACTAATCTATATAGAAATGAGGACATGTCGTCTTGTGACAGTAAATATTATGATTTCACCCAAGATCTTGCATCTCTTACGTCAATGTGACGTCTGTTTCATTACGCAGTTAAACGCTGTTATTTCCACTAATCTTTTTTAATTTACATAGATCTTAATCCCACAGAGGAAAGGTTATAATCGTATGGTGCCACTTTGGTTCATACTATTTTGATATCGGCGCCGGCTTTATAAATTATGCCACGGTATGTCCGGTCGTCATTTCTGATCTCTTTGTCTATAATAAATTATTCAATATATTGTTTTTGATCTATACTTTAAACCGACCCTATGATTTCATCTTAATCTCCGGAATTATCATGTTCTACAACATCGACTATAGCTTGACGAGGATTTGTATAAACATCTTTGATTTTATTTACACATATATTTTTTTTATTACAAATTTAAAGTATCTAAGATTTCTTATTAGTCTGACTACTAAGAATAAAATAATAATTAATGATATTATATTTAGCTATTTATACCAACTATATTTATTGATTGGATATCAACATGTGCACTTCATATGACGTCGCCAAATCACGCCCAACTGTTTTTGTTGGCATGGCTTCCATTGTCGCAAGTTTAATAATTTTCACTCCATCATCCTTGTCCATATCGGTCCAGTTCCATGTTGCAATCCCTCGACCCACCTGTGACACGACAACAATAAATTGTTCCATAGCAGCTGCTCACCTCAATCAAAAATCACATTTTTATATCATCTCTAACATTAATAATACTATCAAAATGCGGTCAAAATGCCAAAACGACGGTCGGCTGTAAAATATAAGCGCCAATTGCTAGGACATCTCCACAGAGCTATTAAATAAAAGTCTTTTTACATTAGATAAATCGCGCACGTTATTCGGGAACATCTGTCCCTTACCGATTACGCCCATACATTATGCTCAGTTTGTTGTTTTTAATAAAAAGTTTAATCCGTTCGGTTATGATGGCAATTTGTCAGTCCGATGGAAAAACTTGGTCGTTTTAGCGGTGGCCCGCCGCCTGCTCGCATGGGGTACCTATAACAACCTCGTTTTTTATCTTTCGGTGATTATGTCACGTTTATTTATGTATTCGCTTTTGTCTTCCATTAGCGCTTTCCGTTTTCATCTGCACCGCTCGTGATTCACTTAAATGTTTCACTGTCAACCGCACGCTCGGCCACTAAAGAAGTTTTAAAAGCATATTTTCATATTTGCATCAAAATGATCTCGTTCGTCCGGAAACTCGTCTCATCGAGTTGTTTCGATTTCATCACCTTATAACATCTTACTCGGTACAACCATTAACAATTCAATAAGGTCTTAATGAAGAGCCGATAAAATGTATATAGTGACATTCGTCATGACTCCCAGGCAATTAATCGGATGCTCTTTTTTTGGGGAATTTGCGATATGGGAACAGAGATTTAGTGACCGTGAGATCACTTGATTTGTGCATGTATTTTATTGTTTTCTTCGTCGTGAATGGACTGTAATGTGCAATATTTTCTGCGACTAGGGATGTGAAAAATTATTGGTTTCGGAAAATATCGGTTATTATACAATATACCTAAGATAGTACTTTCTAATCCATTAATAATATCTCAAATAACTATTATTTACAGACTATTTGTGGTTTAACATTTTAGAACCGCTTGGCTAAAAAATCTAACCTACAGAAAATTAACATTCTCAAATAAAGAAAGTAATCCATTATAGAAAATTCAGTATGTAATCATTATAAAATCGATTTTATTTTAATCGATAAATATGCTAATAAAAATATTGGATTAATGATTAATCGATATTTTTATTTTACAACCCTAATGAAATTGCGCGTGGAATGATGTCTCGTTAACAGTGATTGCCGAATGCACTGCAATTTAGGAGCCAGTCGCTACCTCGGTGTTCTTTTGTTTCGGAATTCTCGACTCTATTTAATAAAGTCGGTATGCGGAAGTACTGTACTTTCGTGAATTTCAAAAGATACTTTGTCCGTTACATTATTAAGAGCCGCATAAGATTTTAAATGAATGTAAATATCCAAAATTTCAGTATTTTAGTCCTTTGTTTAATTTTAATTAATTCTTTTTTAAATAATAATACAGGACAAAACTATACTTCTGTTTCCTAGTAGAAATACACATGAAAATATTTAATCATTTTCTTATGATATAGGAATATTTTACTTATATTATTTATGCGAAAGTTTGTAAGTAGGTATGGATGGATGCATGCATATTTGTTACAAAAACGACTAAACAGATTTTGGTAAAACTTTCCATTATTATAGCTTTCATGCGGGTGAAATTACAGGGACAGCTAGTATTAATATACTAATAATATAAATGATATTTAAATTCCTTAACGATTTAAAACCAACTAAATGTACCTACGCCAATCACGCCTGAAGTAATTACAATAGCAAAGATTTCTGCACCGAGATCTTATGAGTTTAAATAAATCCAGGCAAATATGTTGTTATTTTTTCTTTTTACATGTGAAATACCTAGTTTAGAATTAAACGAAATAATAATTAATATTGAATTATGGAAATTAGTACAAAATGGTTCGTTAATAATCATACTCAAACTTATTTATTAACATAGAACATTTCGGTGTATGGTGCACGTCATATTTTGTATGACTTCCACATATATCCGTCTACCGTCCACTTCGGCCAGTTCGGCGAGTCTCAACTGGTATTTTTTATTTTATTATTTATTTTTTTTGTTTAGTCACTTTTCAATCTTTCAATATTATTTAAGTAGAGCATTGTAACTCATATTAGGTACTTGGTCTTCTTTAATATTATGCCTACATGAGATTAGACAATTATCGCAAACACATTTATTTCAGCGTTATTAGAAATAAAAATATGTAGGTATTACTACTTACTAGGTATATACGATTGTATATTTTTTGAAGAATTAAAAAAGTTTAGTTTCATATATTGTTGTGGATATTTCGTCTCACAGTAATTATTTATTTTCAGAACCTTGGCAACGTGAGCGCTGAACTGGAACTTCAGAGGCTGCAGCAGGAGCACCTTCGCAGACAGGAGCTGGTACGGCGCGGGCAACATGGTTTATACCCTGGACCTCCCCTCGCTCTCCTGCCCCTTTTGGAGCAGATGCGACCACAACCACCGCCAGCACCTCCTAATGTAAGATATACTAAGATTTTTCTTACTAAGGTAGATTTTGTACTAAGACATCGTATGTACCTCTATTTTACTTATCTTATATACATATACCCTTCTCGTGTCACAGTTTTCGTCCCCATACTCCTCCGAAACGACTTGACCGATTCTCATGAAATTTTGTGAACGTATTGAGTAGGTCTGAGAATCGGCCAACATCTATTTTTCATCCCCCTAAATGTTAGGGGTAGTCCACCCCTAATTTTTTTTTTATTTTAAGACAAAACAACATTTGCCGGGACAGCTAGTTTCTATATATAAACGAAGGGTATGAGTAGTGATCGAAGTATACTCTCTATATAGAGTGAAACTTTGTACAAAGACTTCAATTTGGGTACCTTTATTTCATCTATTTTTGGCCTTCAAGCAGACCTTCTAAGGAATGGCGGTAAGCTCGCCTCTTACCTTGATGGCTCAAATCTTTCCAGTAGAATGCGGGCATATCCATTATTGACGTCACGTTTTTGGGAAGTTCTATGTTTTTTTAAAAGACAAGGTTATTTATTATGAGTATACTTGTTATGACTCTAATAATAATGACAGATAGCGTATATCCGCATTGAACTAAACACTGCCAATTATTTATACGGAGCGTTAGGGTTAAAATAGCTTTAACACGTCCATACAAAACGGTTGTGTTCCTGCCAAACCAATTTGTCGGTTGTACCTTGCATTTCCTTAACTTTATGACATTAATTTGGATGACACGCTCAATAAAAAGATTCGTATCAAAATATAAAATATTTGTTATTTTTTTATTTACCTACGACAGTGTTGTGGGTAGGTGTTATGTATTTTTGGAAGTCACAAATTCTCCACATGACAAAATAAGAGAATTGGTGTTTGTTATATCTAATGAGTGTTTTACGATATATTTTATCTGATGTAATGTAAATACACATATATTAAACAAAATTATATTAGTTGCTTAATTCTCTTGAATATTAGTAGATTTTATTAAGTGTACGTATTATAAAGTGAATGTATTATACCTATATGAATATATAATGGAAGCAGTATGTATTTTGAAGTCAATCCAAGTAGATAGAATATTACTTACATAGTAATATTTTTCTACACTGCCTTGATAGTCTAGTAGTTTAGCACATGGCGTTACTTTCGATGATTCGATTTCTCCCACGGTACAATTATTTGTAATGAGTATGATTGTTTATAATGGTATGAGTATTTCTATTTATATTAAGTATGTACTTACAAAAAATATATTTAAGTATTTGTATCAGTTCTCCAGTAATCAGTTCCTACCCATGACAAGAGGCCTGCTTAGCTTGGGATTAGATGGAGCTGTGTGGAATTAGAACGACAAATAACTTGACAGTTCAATTGGTTATAGTAGGTAGTTATTACTACATTAGTAGCTACATGATCATTTTACCAACCACGTCACAATATAACTATAAATTGTTATTCCCCATGCGTCATTCCTGAGGACTAAGGTGTTATGCCTCAATACGCAGTAATTTCAATACCATATGTTCTTCGAGACGGATAATAGTGTTTATATATCTATAGTTTGCAAAATATACTGTCATTATCGATTATATTGAATTTATTTCAAGGAAGATTAATTCTATCATGTATTTATCAACAATGAATTTATACTATTATATTTAGTAACAGCCGGAAATATTAGTATAAGACTGATTAGACTATTTCCTTTTAACAAAATTGCAATAGCCTATATTGGTGGAACACTATTCTCCCTAATTTGCATTTTAAAATGAAACTGTATTTTAGTAAATATGTAGGTCCAAGCTAATTTGAAAAGAATAAGATCCGAGTTTTTGCCAGTTTTTCTTGCGTCGACAACACTTCGAACTGACAGTAGATTTCGTGTATAATAACAGTCTATAATAGATCTACATGAATAAAGATATTTTGATTTGATTTGATATTGTTTACTAGGGATGCTCGCAAATTTGTATGCATGTTCATTTGTAAATCACAGTCTATTAATGATAAATCAAATCATAAACAATACATAAAGTATATATAGGAGGCCATGTAGTATATCATTAATGAAATATCTACTAGGTCGATATTAAAAATTCTCACCTTATTAATTATATTCCATCTACATATATACTTATTTTTTACTTGGTTATTTTTCACGGTTGGTACATAGGTTGATATATAAATAACAATATACCTATTCTGTAAAAAAACATCTTAATTCCTTTATTTTTACATAAAACCTATACACACAAACAGACAAATTTATGTTCTTATTGTAACTATATAGAGAAGTGATAAAAAAAGATTCTCGCTAGATATAGTTAAAAAACGAAAGCTACACTAATTGCGAACGCAAACTGGTATTTGTTATATAAAATTATAATTTGCCGTTTTAAATGTACCCTACCCTCCATTCGTCATCCAGTTTTTAGCCATAAACATTTCATTAGGCGATAGTCCGCAATTAATTGACGCAATTTCCTCTCTCTTCGAAACTATTACGTTATTAGAAAGATGAGTGTTCCGATTGTTAACTGAACTCATTTCTATTTGGTTATTAATTTAAAATAGTATTTTATATTATTACAACAGGTATAAAATTAATGGCTGGATATAGTTAATAAGCTGTAAATTATATCTGATTGCATAATATTCTTGTTCAAACAAATGTACTTACCAAATATTAAAATGGGGGAACAGTTATTTTTAACTACATTATGGATTAACTTAGACATATAAAAACTATATTATCAGTTAGGCTTTATTTTATTTTCAAAACTACAGAGCCCATGCCAGTTCAAAAGAAATAATTTCGTAATGTTGTAGACTGTTTAAAATTATTGCAATTGAACGACATTGTCATCTTATACTTTTTAAAAATCTGCCTTTAAAATGGTTTCATCAAAGTCATGTAATTTTAAATCAAAATGTAATGAATGTAATTTATCCATATTTGTTAATTGCAGTTTTTTTTAATTATGGGGGTCTTCCTATGTGATGGGTTGTAAAATCGATTTTTTTTTTTCATAAATTGCTCCCTTAACATGTCTAGAATACGGTAGTAAAGCGATTTTAGAAAATTCGAAGTCGTTTTAAAGATACAGCAGGTAAAAGAAAGAGCGGTTCGGAGCGGTGAGTTGGCAGTTAGAGACCGGGCCTATTGTGTACCGTCGGCTACATTGTGTACCTGGCCTCCCTTTTATTAATATATTTGTTTATACAAGTTTAGACACGTTTCTACAGACTTAAACAGAAATTTCTATTGTTATAATATTTTACCGAAGTTATTTTAGTCTTGGTTGAACTTCGAAGAGAGCAACAGCTACAAATTATTTTTTTTCATAATGAGTGGACGGAAAGGAAGTACGAGTGGAAATGTTCATCCTGGTCGTAGTAAAAAAAGAAAGTTTAGTGGAAACCGTTTTACCCACCAAAATGATACGGTATTTACATCAGCTTCGGCCAAAAAACTTAAAAATAACATGAACATGAATGTTCCCATCGCTTCGAATTTCGCATATTGCATTTTGGAGTTTGTTTCTGTATTTGCTGCAATCTCTGAAATAGTTATATGTAAAACTTGTAAAACAATAACGAATCTTTGAATTCTTTGATTTGGACTTTCGCTCCTAAACATCTGCATTCTGGTCCCAAAGTTGTTGAAATTGCTAGCTACTTAGCAGTTATTATCTTTAATGAAGGTTTTCAAGGTATTTTAAAAGTTATGTCGATTATGGGATGCCCTGTTGGTCGTGAAGCCCAAGCGTATGTTGAGAAACGGGATGAAAAGCGAATCTTACGCTCTGAGCGGCGCGTAAGTGATGTCGTTAAACAAGCCAGGATTGACTCAAGAGCTGAACAATCTGCTTTAAAAGAGTTTCACGAGGAAGAGGAAGGAATACTCTATGGACCAGGCATCGCCGATTGAGAGTAAGTTGATATTTTAATAGTTTTTAACGGACTTGAAACTTTAAACGCGTTTTTCTCAAAACTGTGTTTTTCAAACTTTCCTCCATTGTATCTCAGAAACGGCTGGACCGAATTACTTGAAATTTACAGGGCACACTCAATATATGTAAACGCATGGAATGAACTATTATCAATCGAAAATTTTCAAAACTTCGATTTTTTTATAGCAAAAAACAAAAAAAAAAAACGCCTAATTTGCAACTTTTATTTCAAATGTCTATCAAAAATCCAATTTTTTTTATATTCATTTGATTATAGGTCATTCCGTGCTTTTAAGCCTACAAATTAAAACGCCGTTTTTTTTTTTTTTTTTTCAGATAAGCCGATCAGCCGGAATCGTGGAGGAAGTGGGAGCTCTTTTTTTCGAGGCGGGGGTGTTCAGAGCGCTGTAACTCTAGTTTGACTGAATATTTTTAGCTGAAATTTTATATTTATACTGTCCAAATATGTGTTAATAAATGATAAAAAACTTGAAGCTCTAAATATTTACTGGTCGTAGAAAAAAAAATCCTAAAATATCCCTAAAAAACAGGCCGTCACATAGGAAGACCCCCTTATGTTATATGTGGTGTCTACAGTAATACTAAATATAATTTGATTTTTCTTGAATACACACATAAATGTATTGCTTTGTTTGTGCTGTTAGACAATTGAGACAAAGCCTATATCTTTCCAGGTGGTACCGTCTTCCCCTTGGCCAGCGACTGCACAATTAGCCCAATTGACCGCTAGCGCGCGATCCCCTCCACCTCAAGACCCTGACGCACCCCTCAACCTGAGCAAGCAGAGGTCACCATCTCCCGCACAGGCGGCCATAATGCTACCACGATTCGTGCCATACCCGCCCATGGACGAGAGTCCTCAATACAGCATGCAGAAAGACGAAGATTATAATGCTGCGTGTAATAGTAAGTATTTGTTATTTTTACTGCCTTAAAAAGGTATAAATAACTTCAATGTTTGTATAGATATTTTTTTCTTATATATATTTAAGATAAAGATTTATTAATACTTATTAACACAATTTCACAAATACAGTTCTATAGACATTTAGTATTCTATTCTGCTATTAAATAAAAATAACTGAAATAATAGTTTCGGAAAATATCAAGACCAAAAAAATAATTTAAATAGCTATTGAAAAAATATTATATCCTAATTTTAAACTGTATTCGTAATAAAATTAATGTAAAGGAATAGGAACACATTCAGATAACGAAAATAACGTCATATGATCATGCATATACTTATATTATTTCATTTAATGATGGACTGATTCACGTGATATAACTGACCTACTTGGCATTAGGAATTAGCTTCTTCTTTCTCTAATACTTGTGTATAATATTTTAGCAAACAAAACATCTCTATTCCTGCATAATACTACCATTAATAAAACTTTATTACATAATATCTGCTAATTACAAATTAACATTTCACTTAAATCTATTTAAGAGAATAAAAATATTTCGTCGAAAATACCTACTTATGTAAATGCGTGATTTAAATACTGTATATGTGTACTAATGCACAATAAAAGAAGAATTGGCCGGAAACAGACCGGATTGTAAAAGTTTAATTAAAATAATTACATAAAAAATATTATCTGACAGACGTTCACTTGTTCAGTATCTTGTCTTACTACAAAGTATAGGTTTAGTTTATTTTAAAACACCTATGCGAACTCGGAGTTGACATGGCAAAATATATAATAAAATACATATTTTATTAACTAAACATTAAAAAACAATAAAAAAAACCTAGTTGCCCAGTGACACACATAGTAGCGTAAGTTCTACGTGAATCAGATAATGGTGACGTTAGGAGATCGTCACACGCACGCAAGAGATCCAAAAATATGGTGCGGCTGTGCGATCGGATCATTTATTAGCCATACAACCGGTGAAGACATAACCCCGTCAAATTTAAAATTGCCAGCGGCATTTGTTCTGACTGATTTAAATGTCGCTTTAACGCCCTTTGATCGTAACGAATGGAAGACTCAAAAAAATCGTGTTAGGGGTCATTGGTTCCTAATTTGATATCGTTTAAAATATTGTTGGTGTGTGTCTTTCTTAGGGGCCATACATAAATGCGTCGCACGAATTTCGTAATTGTGATCCTTCCCCTATCCTTGTTACAGTTAGTCATACTTGTGATAATACTCCTGATTTCGTATATTTAAAATGACTACAGATAGTCTGTAGTTATTTTAAATATACGAAACAAACTACAGCTGGTCTCTAAAATAAGCCGCATTTTATCAGAATAACAATAAAATAACAAAATGTATATTACAAGAATGAAATACTCGTATTGTAACAGTAATTTACTTAAAAAAAAATAGGTAGCTAATTAAACGTGAGAGTCATCTATTGTTTAAAAACAAATGATTGTATACAAAATTACACGTCATACAATCACAAATCATATAGACAAGATAATCGACAACATAAAAATCTTATACAAATAACTAAACAAACTTTACTGCAACTTTGTTTATTTTTGGTTGCAATAGTAGATAATTTATAAATGCAACATCGTAAGTGTAGAAACCACAAACATTTGCAATATCATATTATTAGTGCAATTGTACATGTTCACATGAATATAATAATATGGTACACCTTAATCACAGTTTAATATCACGGATTCCACGCATTGCGAAATTCGTGAACGAAAATAAACAACGGATCGGCTTAGATAAATAGGCAGTTACGTCGAGAAATGCTGAAATGAAGAAATGTACCGTATCGCCGCCAAACATTTTGATGTTTCGCATTTAATTGCTAAATATAATTAATATGTTATACACATTAAAACAGTTATACTCCAGTAAATGCTGTGCTCGATTTAGGACACTGTGGCCCGAGATTTTGATCAGTTTCCAGCTGCTGCACCGAGAACTTTCACATCGATATTTAAAGATAATGTTCCAAAAACAAACACGATTTCAGTTTAAAATAAGTATGAGAACAGTATAAAAGTGTATTAAAAAAAGACACACCAGTTTAGAGAATGGATTCATATTTTTACAACTAATTCATTCTGTATTTTTAATATCGTCGATAATTCGATAAATAGACGAATAGATACATTTTTGTTTCAATACCGTATTTAAGACTGCTAAATGTCAGTATGATTTGATAATAAATGATAAAAGTAACCAATCTACAAAAAAATGCTTCTAATGAATCTCCTCAGATCTAGTCTGTAGAAATCAATGTACTTGTTAAATATTGTTAGTAAAACCATACTACATACAGAGGGCATGAATTATCTATGAAGTCAATATAACAAGTGTGCCTATAGTTCACCAAATAGTTGGCTCCCACCCAAACTAAAATGGTTACAAAATCGCAAGTGTCGTTGCGTTTCCTTTAAAACAAGAAAATTAAATGAAATGCAAAATAGATGGCGCTCGAGACGCAAACTTCCGCTCCCCATCCTCACTGGATCGGTACAATGATTTAGAGAAGCGTTTTGTATTTAAATTATTAACTGTGCTAATTTTGATCAGTTATTGATTATTAATCTGCGAATAATAAGAGAAAATATTTGTTTGTAATAATATTACTTATAAATTATAAATATATAAAAAATATATTATCCTCTTTTAAAAATTTTTCCCCTACTCGTAATTTTGTAGAAATTAGTTGTAAAACAATATATAACTAGATAAATATTTTAATGGTAGGTACCAGTAAAGACAGTAACATGACATGAATAGAATTTTGTTTTGTATTTCTATTAGACAACACAAAAAATAAACACTAATATTAAGAATTTCTCAACAGTATTTCATTACATACTTGACTTACATAGTCATAAAGAGGTAATTAAAATACTATATTTTTTGCATTATAGAAATATTTTAAAACTACATATATGCAAGAAAAATCAGAGGAAAGCAAGCTAATAGAATTAGCAATGAGAATGATTGGTATAATTATTTACTAGAAAATATTCTCATCCCACCCTATAAAATAGATTAAATTCATGGTGATTTCATCGTTATCCCTTATTTATCATATCATATCATACTATTTAGGTAGAAACCATAAAAAATGCAATGAATTGTTTATTTATATCTGTTTATTATATCTTAATATTTAAACTCTTCGTAACATGTACAAAATCTACATTATTACTGTATAATTCAATTTGAATAATTAAAATACATTTAATACAGAAAAAGACTTGGAATACGGAGATATATAGGCGTTTGTCAAGACATTAAAGTGTTTTCTTTTTACCTATATCTAAAATAAAACTACAACAGAAACTCATTAATTAATTAACATGAATCATTAATTAAACTAAAATTACTTTATGCGGCACACATAATTTTATTAGTAGTAACACTGTTGTCAGCTTCTCAAGTAGTAGAAACCTGTCGTGTAAGATTCGATCTCAAGTACTTCATCGATATGAAACCGTTACCTTACCTTTTCTACATTTATTATATACTTATTTTCACATACTTTGAAATAAAATGTTTAGCTGTTATATATTTTTACAGTTAAAGTACCTATTTTACATTATGGCAATTTTTTTTACATATAAAATAAATCAACTTCAGAAATAAAAATCCGAAGAGAATTTATTTACCTAATGCATTATTTCGATAGAGATTTTTTTTAATAAAAAAAAATGTAAACAATCGTTAAGCAATATGTGTATTTATATGTATTTTTCTTATGATGCTTTGACCGATATCATGCACAATACTGCATTAACTCAAAAGTGATAATTTTTTCGTTATCGACTTTAAAATTTTAGTTTTAAAGTATAGTTCAGCTAAATATCATTCCAATTTCTCATCTAACGATACCGAAGTTTTGATTCTGGAGCGAGTACCGCTCGAATCAACCGCGCCGTAGGATGTTATAAATTAACTAACAGCGTGTCAAATTAATTCAAGGAATGCACAAGCTTTGAGTGGTGGATGTTTCCGTACGGGCGGGCTTATTAATTGTGTGGACATTTGGTAGCGAATCCGTCAAGCGAAATGGTAAGCGGATGCGCCCGATATGACCCACATATTGCATCTTGGTTGACGGGACGTATATTGGTGATAATGGATTGGTGCACCCGCCTGCGCTTAGGATATAAACTGCCAGCAGTGGAGTATAATAGGATGAGCAAGAAGTTAGCTCATCATGGCAAATTACATAATGGTACAATAATAGCAATGGGGCTTGCCAACTTGTCCTTATTATGACGGCCTCGGTTGTATGGGGGTTTCGCGCACCACTTTACTTCCAATCGCGGGTTCTATTCCTCGCACGGTGCAAACGTTTGTATACATGCTTTTGCTAGTTTGTATCGGTATGGTTGTTTTCTATGTGTTATGTATGTAGTTACAAAAAAGAAATATCTAAGTATTTTTATATCAGTTGTCTAGTAGATACCTAACCATAATACAAACTCTGGTTAGCTTGGGACTAGATAGTGCTGTGAATTGTTCGTGGGCATTATTTTATTATTATCACCATCCCGTGCATTTACATGAGAAATACGAGATGTTGCATAATCTTTTCATTGGTGTAAACGATCTTTAACTCCATGCTATTCGTATCGTGCTAATAAAATTTGATTTAGTTGCTTTTGGTCATTATGTATGCGAGAGGAGCGGTATTGACAATTTATTTTCATTGCAAACGTTTATAGCTAGAATTACTACTTTTACTTGCATATTTTGATATAAACGTATCTACCGACGTATTATAGTAGGTACCTAGGCCGATACAGCTGTGCAATCTTTTATTCCGGAATAGATTTTTATTTTATTGACAATTAAGTCATGACATTTTGCTTTAGAAAAGCAGCGCATTTTTTAAAGATTTGATTTTTAATTTTTTTTTTTTAATAATTATTATGATTTTCATCTAAATAATCAAACATACAAGAAATATTAAATCTTTTTCAACATTTTGTAATTCCTAGTTCAGGTAGGTATACCTAACCACCAGGGTAGTTATCTTAACTAAATTTAATTTAAGAACCCATCAAGTATTATTTTATAAATTAACCGAAAAAAAGTATTATTATTTTATTGGTTGACGTTAATCTTGATATTCTCTTAAAACAAATAAATGGGAATCATGTTCTTATAAAAAACTATTTTGTTATGGAAAGTTTACCATCTCTTTATCTCCACGTAACACCATCAACGGTTGACAAGACAAAAATTACGACAGCTGTTAAACTACATTCGGACATTCCAAATATTTTTATATACAGGTTACTTTAATTATAATCTATTCTAATGAATTCATCACCATAAAAATACCTTTTACCGCCGTCTTCAAATAGGTTAATCCGATCCTAACACCTGTCGAATGACGGACAAAGCATTTTATTGTAATTGTATTTATAATATTAGTACGAGATAATAAAAAATATAACAATACGTAAAATGTTGACAGCGTTGCTTCCTATTCGTTCACTAGGTATCTAGTTTTAGATCCCGAACATTATTTCATATTTGGCCGACATAAACCTAATTAACCCTGCAAAGATGGAGTGTTAGTCTTTCCAATTTGGTAATTGAACTTTGGTAAAAGTATGCTTATTAAAAAAAAAACAAATCCAAGTAATTTCGAGAAAGGGAGGTAAATCTACTCACCCACAGCGAAATAGGGCTTCTCAAGTAATCCATGCATCACAGAACAGAGAAGTACCTACTTACTTTTCTCTGTTCTGTTGACAATGCCTTTTATTTACTCGTATTTACGGATACCTAATTGTTATAAATGCATGTTTTCATTATAACTTTAAAACAAACATTGACAACTGTCTGCGTCGTAGTAAACGCAATAGGTACTTCATATGTTCATATTTCTCTGGGTGTTTGGATACAATATTATTTTTTGGTTTATTGTCGTAAGTATATAGAAAATTCTTCACCGGTGAGTCAGACAGTAATATAAAATACATGGTTTTTGTTGTCGGCCTGTATGAATAGAATAGAATAGAATAGAATAGAATAGAATAGATATATAATAAAATAGAATAGATAACTCTTTGGCGCAAAGCAGTACAGCATTACACTTCTTATAATTTTACTGTAATTATTCCAAATGAGTGTTTACCTATACTTTGAATGAAATATTACAATGTGGGTCCTAATTATAGAACTATTTCATTATTATATCTGCCACTTTCCTTCAACCGTCGTAGTGTTTCTTAATCTCTATTTAACGATTGTTTTATGGTTGGTATTCTCTGCTTGAGTTAATTTATAGCTCAGCTTACCACTGGCTTCCGATTAAGTTCTCCGCTTTAGACACCCACCCAAAATTAAAATACGATGTTAAAATTTCATAAACAATTTTACGGTGCTTAACTTTATTAGATGGAGTTACAAAAAAAATGGAATTTATGTTATTCAAACAGCAAACATATGATTAATATTTATAGAGACTTGTTAAAATTCTGTAGGTATATACATATATATGTAGTCGTAGAAATTATGTAGAATATGCAAAGTACCCACAATACAAACTTTTATATGCGTCATTATGGCTGGTGTTAATAGTTATCTATATTTGTTGATTATTTTGTATGTTAATTATTTTTTTCTTCATTTAATATTGTTCAATGAAGAGTACGCTACATTATGTATCTATAAAAAAATATTACATATTTTGCTGATTTTATAACAGTTATTATTATATTTATAAAAATCTTTTCTTTTAACTTTCCAGCATCATCGTGGGGTCAATCGCCACCCGAAGAAGCAGAGAAGGCGAAGCTTGTTCGTCAGCCGAAAAGGGATGATGCTGGTAAACCTCATATCAAAAGACCAATGAACGCGTTCATGGTATGGGCGAAGGACGAACGCAGGAAAATCCTGAAGGCATGCCCCGATATGCACAACTCCAACATATCGAAAATCCTCGGCGCGAGGTGGAAGGCGATGTCGAATGCTGAAAAGCAACCGTACTACGAAGAGCAGTCGAGGCTGTCCAAACTGCACATGGAGAAACACCCTGATTACAGGTTAGATATACCTACACTTACTTGACAAGATCATTAATTCTATTCTCTGAAAGAGAAAACTCGACGGTTTAGTGGTTTAAAACTCCTACCTCCAATGGTCGCGAGTTCGATTGCTAGCATGTACAAACTCATGAGACAGTTGGTTGGTTAACTCATTTCTGTATATAATATAAGAGTAAATTTTTAGTTTTCTTTATTGCTCACACACTTAGGTTACTACAAAAGGTTACAAAGTCAAACTAAGATTGTGGAAGCGTAAGTAAGGTGAAATGACAATACAAATTATTGTATCTACAATATTATAGTAATGAGAATAATAAATTATTCATATTCTATTTTCAGGTACCGACCAAGACCGAAGAGAACTTGTATAGTTGACGGCAAGAAAATGAGGATATCAGAATACAAGAATCTGATGCGCTCACGCAGGCAAGAGATGCGGCAACTATGGTGCAGAGATGGCGGGAGTGAACTTGGCTTTCTTCCTCTATCTTCACCGGGACCATCCAATTCTTCCCCGCCCCCGAACGGTGGAAATTACATGAACCCCGCGTTTTCGCCGCCATTATCACCCGGGGAGGATGATTGAGGTACGGCGCGCGGCTGGCCCTACCCGCACGCCGCGCCCCTCTCTCTCCCTCCCTCACATCACCCTTGGTAAGGCGCCTTCAGGAGTTTCATCCCCAAAGTACCTACCAGCAGTAGTAGTACAATTTCGACCGGCCGCTATAATAAACTTGAAACTTGTATCGTATTCAACTTTCAAGTTAGATTTGTGAGACATAAAGACTTTAGCTTAGTTACTGTTAATGAACTGTGTTACATCACTTTTCCTTTGTGATTATAAATAACTATAGTTTAAGCGAATAATGTCTTTGAATGCCAGTGTCTCAATTGGATCTCTCGTTTAATATATCTACAAATAATTATTTGCTATGAGATTATTCCATTAGTGAATTAAGACTAATAACATTACGGACATTTCTATCTGTGTGGTTCGAGTGAGCTGCTTTAATAGACAATAACTTTTTTTTTATTCAATAAATACGTACGTTGTGGATGTAGGTATTGTTATTATCGAATATTTACGGGTTTTAGATAATTTCGAATTGATCATCTGAGATTATAGTTGTTTTATTTTCAATGTATTGGAATAATTGCTTATTGTATTTATAAATTTACCTTGCTCGAATGACACTTGATTGAGTGTGAGCCTATGAAACCGTTGTAAAAAGGCGAAAGTATATAGGTAGATAAATGTGATTATTATCATTACTATGTGTAATGAATTATGGGTAAAATTATGAGTAACCTTTAAATAGACGGCTCTATGGTCCTCTAATTGATATGAGAGTCGTCAGTCACGTAAAACTAACAACTTAGGAAAAAATGTATATATTTACTTCAACAAACCCAGGCGTATGTAACTGTTTAGAGAATAAGCAATTTTTTTGTAAATATTCCCTTTGTAGATAAATAAAACTTTGGCTAAACGTTAGTCTAAGATCATTAAGTAGCTCTGTAGCTGTTAAATTGAGGTACTATTTGACTTTTGAGTGGCCATGTATAAATAGTAGTTAACTAAACATTATACTTATTAATTGTAGATGCTCTAGGCCTTAAGCGACTAAAATGTATCAAACCAAAAATTTGAAGCGAAAGGCTTGAAAATTTTATGTGTTTTGAACACAACTGTTTATACCCAGTGAGATATTAAAGCATAATGATTGTAATAAATAAAATACTCATAGATTATATGCCATTGGTACCTATAGATCTATCTGTAATAGTTAGAAATCTACAGGTGGCATTGTATAGACCATAAAACCCAATCGTTTCGGACTTTCTGCAGTTTGGTTTTTAACGTAATCGTATCTTAAATTAATCAATAAAATGACAAATCATAAATTATTATAGTTAATTTATATCCTTAAATAAGTTTTCAGTATTGTTATACAGATCAAAATACCAACCGAATATACTCTCTATATAGAGGTAAATTTTGTAGAGTCCTTAGTTTGGGTACCATTATTTCACCTATTTCTGGCCTAAGAAATTTCTGGTTTTAGAAAGCGCTTGTCTGTCACGAAAGGAGGGGTATTTTAATCGATTGCGTCAAAAGTCAATCTGCTGATTTAATTATACAATTAAAATTTATTAATGGAATTAAATATTAGTATTAATAGTAGCAACCTGAGAATGGTGGTCAATTTTGATAAGTCAATTGTTTGCTTCGGCATTGAGATGTCCATTTCGAACAAACAAACTTTCGTATATGAACCCACCGACGCTGTGGGATTATCTATACATTAAACAACAATATGATAGAAAACAAAAGTTCGCTTTATCGAATCGTGCAATTTATATAGTAGATTTATTATAAGGTAAGCTGTAGTCGGTACATGCATAATATCTACGTAAATAGATGAACAAATTGTATAGTAAACTTACATCGTATCAAAAACGTTTGTTCGTTGCCATTTTTTTTTATTTTTGTTATTTATTTTTCTAATTATAAAACTTGTTTTGTTTATTTCTTTCTTTTTAAGCGTATGCCAGTAAAATGTGAACTGTATGTAGAGTTAGTTTAAGGTCGTAAATAAAGTATCATGTGTACGTGAACATTAATGTTTGTCATATTAAGTAGTGTGTAGGTACCTATTATTCTTAATAAATGTGTAAGGGTTTAGACAGTGACGTTAAATTATTTATTTTTATGTTGAATTCCTGTAAATATGCGATATTTTGATGTAAAAGTTAGCAATTGTGGTTATTTTATTTAATGAGCGATACTTATTATATTGTCTTCTTTAAATATTATAGATCTCCACCATATTTCTTTTTTTTTATTTATTCAAATCTACGATGGATTGTAATAGGTTTATTTAACTGCAACTTGCCATATACTATGTTCTTATATTAAACATCACTTAGAAAAAACAATTACTTATTAAAAATGTACTTAATAGTTACAAATTGTTATTTTTATTATTATTATATTTGCGAACGGATCTGATTTGTTAATTCTCCACTACCAGTATGATTTAGCATTCGAAAATTATTCAAATGTATAAGTAGATAGAGTTTAGGTTTTATTACCTAGTGTAAACCAGGACACATTATTTAAAAATTGTGCCAAAACCCAAAAGTAATTAAAAAATAAATATTAAAAATATACTGTTTCGTTTCATTTCTAATTAGATTATATATTCTATAACCAATGAAATTAACAAATAAATAGACATGTAATACCACCAACATTTGTAACAAACAGTTGATGAGTTATGTATGATAAAGCAATTTTCAATGGAAATACTTACTTTTTATCAAAGAACTAAAGTCTTTCAATTCTATCTTGATATAAATTTCTCAAAAAGTAATAACTACAGATATTTCTGAATTGTCATTCTAATATTATAATTGTTATAAGAGAAGATAGAGAGCTATATTTATGAATGTATACAAAATATCAAGAATTCGTCACAGGCGAATCTGGAGTAGGCTTCTACCGGGAAAAATGTAAGAAAAAAGGATAGCTAAACTTTTTTTTTAAATAATAACGTGGTATATATTTTAAAAAAATAATAGTAAGTAACGTTTTTTTTAAGTAATCAGTGGACGATGATAAGATGAACGTGAGGTCAGGCCAGTTAGCCCATCGTGACACATTCACTAGGAATTTATTATGTAGTTTCCATGGGGAATCGCGTGGAGGTCAACCTAACATGTTACATTACTAGGAATAGAGTCGTCAAGCCACATTTCTAACAATGCCCCTCAGATAGAGATACTTAATAACATGTAGCTACACAAATTATAGTACTACTAAATTTATTGTGTCAGCTTATTATCTACGTACAGGATAGTAAAGTTAGTAACACCAACACCACGAAATAAAAAAAGGAATTCCTTGCAATATTTTAATTGTGATTATAAATATTATGTATACAAATGTATATACACTGGAAATACGATTATGAGAATATGTACGTATACAAAATATTACGATATGGCTAAGTTATTGCACTTACAAAAATATTTTATATATCCTTACTTTATATTACATTAAGGTATATTTAGTGCATAATATTGGTTTATCATATTAATTAAGTACATTATATGTAATAATAGTACATTATACGAGGAGGTCAGTTGTTTGTCCTTGAAAATTCTATGCGTTACAATATATTGGGCATTAACTTTTGAAAAAAAAAACAACTCGGCTGACGACTCAAACTTGACCTCCCTGAGCCAGAAGCAGCAAACATGACTCCCTTGACTCCCCATCCTGGGATCTGAAGCTAACTTCAGACCCTAGGAGTCGTCCATGTATATTTGTATACTATTTTCACAACTACTAATTATTTCGAATACAACAGAAATAGAAATAACAGAAATGTTTACGTTAGTATTTTTAAAAATAGCAAAACATCAGTATGATAACAAGCTAAAGGGTTCAATAAGCGTTAGTTGCTATTCTAAATTACCAGTTAAAAGATATTTTCGATCACTCGTGATCTTTTCAGATCACGAGTCTGATATGTAAGTATATAAACTTGACTTGGGCGCCTTCCTGACGGCAGATCTGTCCTCAAATCTCGAGATTTCAATATTTATTTTTATTCAATCCAGTTTTGAATGGTAATAGAGACATGTACAAATATAGTTCTCTCATCGACCACGATATATGTAATTAATACATTGGTATAATTCAAGAGTAATAAGGTACAAGAAGAAAGCTGCAATCTAAATACAATGCTTGGTTTATTAAACTGGGTGTTCTGCGACTCAGTCATAGTCTGGTCGCCGAACAATCAACACTAGGCTTCCAAGCTACATCCAAACTCTATTCATTACTTGATGATGTCTCGTTTATAGGCGTAACAAGTCTCGCAATATGGGTGTAGAATCAATAACCGTCGGTATTTAATCGCTAATAGGAACGGTCAGAAACTTCCAACAGGTGTAATAGGTTTCCGCATTGAATATTTGTGATCTCACACATGCCAATGGTAGCGGAATTACAAAATAATAAAAATCCATTTAAGTCAATACATTAGATCAGAATTATCTACCAGAATAGACGGGGGTTAGTGACTTTTCGTTTCTATTCTGAATCTGTACAAATTGCCAGGGGTATATAATCAACATTTGATTATATACCCCTATAGGCAATATGTACAAAAGTTAATGCGACTGACTGAATCTTTTCAGTACAGACAGTCTTTATCAAGAGCATACATATATAAAAACCAGCAGACTCCGTCAGGAAAATGCCTTAAAAAGACTACGATAGTAAATCGAGTAAAAAAAATATAGCTCGAAATATAAATACGCAAAATAGAACTAGTAAATACTCCGTTCAGTAAGCAGGGTCAGCTGCCTCCGCACTTACGCTATTTCAGAGGAGAAATAGAAATATAATAAATAAACATTTTAACAAAACAACAAACCGACTTCATAAACTAAATAAAATGGCATAGATATTGTAAGTATACTCTTTCAGATACATATATATTTCATATTGGTATAAATTGCGTGCTTCAATCGAGATCGCGCGTTTTTGTAGTAAATAATGACTCGTATCACCGCAAAATGGCGAATATCTCAAGCTGATGACTACGGACCAAAGACGTAATTATAATTTGTTGATAATTTATAAATCTTACATATCTTTACGAAATATTTTATTCTAAGGAATATCAAAATTAAATATCATTCCCAAATAAAGGGATGTAGTGATTAATTTGCGAAATTAGTTAAAACGGCTCACACCTTAAGGATTAATGCATATTAACTATTTTTTCAATTTATACACTTTATACTTCTATGTACTGCATAAAAAAATCACACGTAAAATCCATACATAGCACCAGTATACTGGAAAAAATGACGTGAATTCAATTGTAAAGAGAAATACACTCTAAAAGCTCTTCGTGTTACAAATTCATAAGACATATTCATGTATTGTGAGAATAGGTATTCTTATGTAATAATCACTATCTGAAACATCTATCTGTTTAATGAAGTACTATATTACACAGTACTCATATTGTAAAGCAATTAAACACTAGGATACGTATACTGTCCTTAGAGAACATATTTATCAGCAGTCTCGGTCTTACTAAATCATTTGCTCACATATTCCTACCGCCAAGCAGCTTAAATGTACATAGATACAAATACGATGATAAAGTCGATCCTATGACATCAGATCGACCTAAACAAGCCGTTTTCAAGTAATATTTAATTTAAAGAGATTTTCGTACATCAACTTAAGTAAAAAATTCTAACGATTTATTGAGATTAATTAATATCAACATTATTTGACCGTTTCATAGTAATTAACATGAATTTATTTTTACTTCAAAAATATATAAAATAATATTATTTTTAAAAACTTATAGACAGAAAAATATATAGGAAGACTTAACCACTTGAGTGACAATAATCATAGCTACATTAATGTTTTTTTAAATAAAACGATAGCTGAAGACGTCAATGCATAGTTACATTATCTATGAAAATATTCATCAGATCAGATATATTTTTTATAGAAACCTACTTAATAACATTATACAAAAATAACAAATTATTAAAGAAAACGAGAGAATTCTTTATGAGAATATAATAATAAAAACTAATTCCAGATAAAAAATATTAAATATAAACTTTACTTGCTGTTTGTTAATAATGTTTTTTTGTTGTTATATAACAATAAAAGCAAGAAATTATTTGATATGTTTTTATGAGAGACAATCATAGTTATATTTAACATATATTATTAGAATATTCAATGTTAATCTATCTGAATATATAAAACATAAATTGGCGCTATTTTATTATTATGTTTAAACACACACAAACACCCGGTAAAATTAATAATAAGAACACAAAATTATTTGTGCACGATAAGAAATGTTTCACGCACTCTTAAAATATTACATAAAGTTCAATTTTAATCAACAATTTAGTAGAAATTTAAAACATAAACTTTCATATCAGTTACAACAAAAATATTAAGTTATTCAATTTTTCAAATCAAACAAACCGATTTTTAATAACTATTATGACTTAACAAAAAAATTAATTGAATTAGGTGATATTTTGCGGAAGTTCATTCCACTACTTCAAGTCGGAAGTCAACACGCTATAACTCTATTCAATGCCTGATGATGCCTCGACCAGCGACGAAACAGGTGTCGTAATATCAACTCAACTCAATAACGGTTGAAATTTGATGACCTATAGAAAACGTCGTAACGGTAGTCAAGTTTCCGCACTGAATATTTGTGATATTACATATACATGCTAATTGTAGCGTTAAAAAAATAATATCCATTAAGTACTTAACTAAATCATTAAGAAAATGTGATGAAAAGATATTCTATTATTTATTTATTAAAAACTTTTTGCTGACTGTACAAACGTACATATTAATACACCCATATCATTTCATTAATTACTTATTGCATTAAATCTATGTAATAATATTATTAGCACGCCAGAAGTTTGAAGACGAGGTAGTTAAAGCTGATAGAATAATGAATTATAAAAGTAAGTATTTGGATAGCCATACTACATGTTTATTACTAATATTATTGTATTTAGATCATTTATTTATCTGCTTTATAAATTTTATTACATTAAAGTAGTTTTATACTATGATCTTTGGTAGGGCAATTACATGAGATCGCAGAAAAGATCTTTTAAACTTTAGGACAAGAAGGGCAGAGTTTTACCTTATTAATATTCAGACATGCGCCATGAAACGTATGGCCACATTTGAAGACCCATAACCCGCCATCTTGGATTAAAACTTCATTTTGTAATGGCAACCCACACAGTATGCAATCAACATTCTGACAGATGATTATTTCTGGCAACTTTTGTACAATATCTTTTAAAGTAATGTTTTTAATTTTAATACTACCGTTGGTTGAGTTGTCGCTAATGGTCGTGTTCGTTTTAATCTGTACAGGTGTCAATCCCCACGTGTTAGAGTTCGCAGCGATTGTTATTGGCAGTGCCGTGTTTGCAATCACTCCATTACAAGTGTTTCTGAGTAGACGACAAACCTGTAAATAGATTAACAATATATACTAAATATCCATATACACTATATATTATAATAAAATATATATATTTATAGTAAAATTATTTTATATTACAAAAAAAAACTGTGATTTTTGACCCAGTCCCTTGTCACATTCCAACCACACCAGTACACATGGTTACGACCGTGTTGTCATGTTTTGCAATTTTACACTTGTAAATCGAGTGTAAACGCGCTAACAACCCATTTGAACCTAATGCTTAAATAAATAAAATTGAAAATAATTTTTAGGTTTTATTTAATAGCTCTAATTTCGTGTTTTAATCATACTATATGTAACATATAGGTATTCTTAGGACCTCCCTCCCTTTATTACACAATGATATGGATAGCACCAAATATTTATATAAGTAGTAACTGAAAGACAGAATACCGCAAATTTTAATATTGTCATTCAATATTGACTAAGTAATAATTAATAAACATTTCAAAATGTATGATTACCTCTAGTCGTGAATCCTCAAAGTCATAAGAACTGTAGATGGTCTCAGTAAGCTGTACTGTTATTGTAGCATCGTATTTTTCATACATTGACACAACTAAACTGGTATGATAAAATTTCATTGTTATTTCTCCAATATCTATAAGCTTGGCATGTTTCTGCATCAATGTTAAAGCATTTCTACCGCCGACAGACTTTATCATGAGCGCCCCTAAATCGTCCCAACTTAGCATATCTCTCACAGATATATGATGAAATTTCTTATTACAATTCAAACACATATTTGCATGCAAGGTTGCATATAGCTGTAAGGCTCTATCCCAAGATTCCATAGTGAACTGAGGCAAGAATGAATGCAGTAGCCCTTCATCTAACATCTGCAACAATATTCGTAGGACATTTAAAAGATCTTCATTCCTGCGTAAATATAAAATTTTCCTCCACAAATAAGGCATCCGTTTGCACATTTCATAACATTGGTTCCTAGACTGACTTGACCATTGCTTCTCAATAAATTCATCAATTAACTCAGCAAAAACTGGCATTTGGTTTGTTCTTGTATATGGTAGAGGGAAGCCACACTCGCAACCTATATTAGTAAGTATTTGAGTCTTCATATTCACAGAGATACATGAATCAACAAAGTATTTGTATAAAACTTCATCATTTATTATAGCATCTAAAAGAACATCTTTCTTTACCGTACTACTAAGGTAAGTTAAAAAAATATTATTTGGTGCGAACTTTGATTCTTCTAAAGCACCTACAGCAATACAATATTGTTCTAATAGTAACATTAGATTATAAACTTCATTAACATCACAGGCATTACTCTCTATCGTTGAAACTAAATTCGATCGATCTTTTTCCTTATCCACTAAACTTAATCTAAAGAACTGATACAAAGTTTTACACAATTTATCCTTTTCTAAACAACTATTGTCTACAGGCTTTTGACTAGGTTCTTTGTAGATAATAGTGTCATCCAACACAACTGCTTTATATTCTACAGGCGACAGTTCTTCAGGTGAATTTCTTTTAGGAATACTAAGTTCCGGTTTTGGTTGAGATTCATTAAAATTTTTCATTTTTCCTTCAAAATCCTCCCATTTTTCCTTTAAGATCTTCTTGCTGGTATTCAGTTTATCTGTTACTGTTGTGCTAAGTTCTTTGAAAGCCTGTAAAGCATCTGGTGACAAAGTACTGAATTTACTGTCTTCATTTTGTTTGACGCCTTTTAAATCGTCTTCTAGAAGTGAAGTCTGAGTTTGATACGTATTATCTACAATATATATGCCAGATTTCATCTGTGTAGCATCGTTCATCTTTAAACCATCAAATTTTTCTAGAACATCAGTGATATTTTTTAACAAGTCTTCATTTTTTAATTTCTCTCTCAAACCGCTTAGAATGTGTAACTTAGATGAGAGGCTATTGTTAAGCAAATAATCTTTAAACAAGGCACATAACTCAGCACAAATTACATATTTCTCATCAATATAACATTGCACCAAAAACTTTTCTATTTTTGTGTATCTTAAACTTAATAGAGAACCATTAGTTAGCCATACATATATAATGTCATGACAAATCTTGCAATCTGCAATATCACCAAATGTGAACCAAGTAGTATAATCTACGTCACATAAATTTAAGAAATAAATAGCATCTTTTTTAAATGAAAATACGGCACCATTCACATTGTATAATTTAGGAAAATTTACAGACTGCCCTTCACCAATCATTTCTTTTTCGATATTTAAGTGATTAACATCATTGTTATAAGATTCTAATGAAAATAACTGCATTGGTTGTTTAGCTAGGACCTGCTTAAACTGGTGCGTTCTTTTTACAGTTCCATCAACAGTTGCTTCCCATAATCTAGAAGATGGACGTGCACAATAGATAAGAGTGCCAGCCATTTCTTCGCCCACTGCAAATCCTGTGTCATCATCAACTATATTGTATTTTTTCACTTCAGTGAAGTTTTCAACAGTTTGTGCTAAATTGTTATTCGTATGGCTTTCTTTATTATAAAAGCATGCTCCAAATTCTCCATCCCTAAGTTTTAACCCTATTTGTCTGTATTGCTCTTGTGATGTATCGCACATGTAGCATCGTGTAAAAGTTGACACTAAAAGCATATTTTCCTTTACATCCAATTGGCAAATACGAGAGTCTAAACTCATTATAGTCTGTGACGAGCTTTGAAATATTGCTTTTGCCTGAAATAGATGATAACATATTAATTAATATTTAATTGGAAATGTTGTAATACACTTATTATAATAAGACTTTACAGTTTATTATTATATAATTATATCTATTATTACAAAATAATAAGTGTTTATAAAATATTTTTTATAGGGTTTTAAGGTAGCTAAATGATGTTTATTTAACACATTATTATGACAAGCTATCTGTCAGCTGCTGCTGAACACAAACTTCCCCATATTTAGTCACAAAGCATGGTCCAGAGACACCACAAACCCATTAACTCACTGCAACAATAGCAGGTTTATCCTACACTATGCTACATTTTAAACATTAGATGAGTAAATCATTTACGTGATTGTTATATTAGCATACAAAAAATAACTTTTATATAGTTATAACAATTAACTACTAACAGTGTTGCTAGCAATGTACTATGTCAGATTGACCTCCACATGGTCATTGTTGTTCATTCCTGATGAATTTGTCAAAACTAGCTAATAGAACTGAACTCATGCTCAACTTATCATTCTCCACTGGTGCCCAGCCAGCACATACCGTTAACGCAGGCTGAAGCACAATTAGATTATCGTATTTATTAAAAAAATGCTTCTATCATTAAGTGGACTCCCAACTACTGGCATGGCATTCTAATTTTATTGACAATCTTGTAGTTTATCAGTTTAACACACAGCTTTACTTCCAATAGTTATGGGTTCAATTCCTAGCATGATGCAAATATTTATAGTCATGAGTATGATTGTTTGTATTGGTCTGGATGTTCCATATGTATCTTATTTATGTATTAAAAAAAAATGTTATTAAGAATTCCTATTAGTCGTATAGTATCTGTTTAGCTTGTGACTGGAGGGCGCTGTGTGAAAAGTCCAGGGTTTTTGTATTTTTTATATTCTAGTAGAATAAAAAACTTACAATAAAACTTTGTAGCTGCAATACTGATACTTTTGCAACATCATCACCAGTGAATAACATGTTATTTCTTCCCCATACCATGGCAGTGACTTCATTTCCCTGATGCTCCTTCGAAGTTACTGAAGAGTAGCCACCGCTAATAGACTGATCACATGCTGTGACTGTTACCACACCCTTGCCATTGGCAAAACCAATGTGTTTCTCATCAGACGATATAGCTAGTCGTGTGATTGCACCATCCTGTAATATATTTTATACTCCTTTATTATTCATAAATGTTAAGTTTTTTTTTCAGACTACTCTAATTTTGTTGGATGCTACAGGCCTTTACAGCTTCACCGGATGATGGGGGGTGATTGCAAAAGGCACTCCCATACCCATAGAAGGCTTTATGGAGCGGCTGAAGGCCAATTCGCTACTGATGGATACCACTTTAGTCTAAGAGCATCACTAGGGTGTTCGAACCAAGACTCAGGCCGTCGTAATTTCGATACCTGTTTGAATTGGATGGGGGATCTATTGGAGGGATTGGATATAAATTGTGTTTACCCTGTCCAACTTTACTTGCTATGTTTTGGTTGAAGGTTGAGATAAGATACTGCATGACATGAGGTATGAGATCTTAGCTTAGTCCTGCCTTATTTAAGTTCATTTTTGCTAATAGAATAACAATTACTACCACATATTGGTATCTAACAAAGAATCTAGATTATATCTGTATCATTAAATACCTATAACATGAAATAGAACTGTGGAATTTGTGTAGCATAACTCTGAACTAAGGCCAATTTTTAGTTAACTATATAATGTATGTTTTTAATCCATTTTATACATGATTTCTTCTGTGTAGTGATTGAAATCATTGTATATGTCATAATAATCAAATAATAATAAAAGTACATATAATTAGTGTAAGGTAGGAGCACTAAAAAAGCATAATTATTATTATAAAAAGCTGAATATAGCCAAGAAGATAACAGTAAGCCAAAGATTCCTCTGCTCTGCTGAGACTAGATCTGTGGCCATCAGAAGAATTAACATAGTAAAAAAATAAATATAAGGTGTTTGTGACAATTATACAAAAAAATTCAAACCTTATTTGGTATGAGCTGCACAAATTCACATGGCTTCCTATTGAAAACGTAAATACCACCACTAGTTGCACCAAATGCTATGAGGCTCTTGGATACATCGAAACACGTATACTGAAAGACAAAAATGACGCTATGAAGAAAACTGCAGCTCTTTACAAAGTTATTTTTAGATCTGATAAATATCACATCCATGTATATGTTATGTTTTAGCTGGTTGGAGTTCAGCAGTACCCTGATGGATTTCCACAAGTAAAAAAAAGATGTAACAAATACAATTTCACAACTTACAACATAATTTTATATATATAATACACAACTATGTTCCAAGTTGTGAAAATAATCAAAATTAAATTAAATATCATACACAATGTGCAATCAAACCTGGTAAAACATTATTTATATTTTTTTTTTCATTTTTTTTTTCCCATTTCCATCCATACAAAAGAATAAAATATACTTCTAAAAACATTTGCACAAATTAAAAGCATAACTTTTTAGTCACAAAAAATACTGTGTTAGAGTAATATGTTAGTCACAAGGGTGGCAAAGCACAAAAATTGTGTCAAAGTTAATGTGGTGTCCATGGTGTTATCACCTTTTAGGTAGACCAGTTCATTAGTTATTCTAATCATATACAAACAAAACATTGTAATCACAGAACATGATTTAATTATGTGATGTACATGTAATTTTGAATTATGGTTTTATGGGTTTCAGTATGGTTCAACACCCTGTTGGTGGTTACATTAAGAGATTTATCAATATATGTAACAATAGTTATAGTAACAAAATAGTCAAGGAAAATAATTATACTTCTAAAACACTTCCAATGGAAATTTCTGTAAAAATATATATAAAAAATTGCAGATATATTTTTTGTCCTTTAATATAATTAGTTGTTTACTGATTAAAAATCTATGTATACATTTGACTGTATGCCAGAAAAAAACAATAACACAAGGGGATCGGTGGGTGACTAACCTTTATGCGTTGAACACTTTCTATAGGATACCTTATACAATCTGTGATATCAGGTAGTTCTTGTAATATATACGGAGGCAATTTACAAGACGACATGTTGTTAAAAATAAATCACATTATATTAAAAACATTCAAAAAATTTTGCTCACTGTTTAGTACTGATCATTTACAAGACACTCAGAAAATTATTTTCCCAAAGTGACATTCAATATGTGAATTTTATTGACAATGTCACGTTGACATTTAGGTTCAGGTTGTAAAATTAGTAGTCGGCTCCATTCTCAATGACAAACGCCATCTATACTTAGAATCTAAAACTAATACCATTTTTATTCTAGTTAGAAAATGCTATTTATTTACTATATAATAGTTAGTATAGTATTATTGTATGCTATTTTCAATATTATATTAGCGACTTTTCTTGCATCAGGTGGACCCTCAACTTGATTAAGGAGCGATTTCTCTAATTAAATCATTGTTAAAGAGATACTAAAGCACTATTCTTTTCTATGCTTTCTATTTAGATAGCAGTAAATTGGAATTTCTTAGTAAAAGAAGCTAGGTGGTACTACCTACTTCTTTTACTAAGAACACACATACACAGTCCGATGTCGCTAAGGACATTACACATTCTCATAAGGAAAAGTAACTGAATTCCATTTATAACACAAAATACCTACCTGTTTTATATAAATTGGTTTGTTGGTAAGCTGCTAGTTATTGGTGCCGTCAATTCTCGAATCAATATTGAAAATGATAATAAAAAAGTTTTCTCTTACTTTAATATTAATATTTATAGAAATTAAAATAGCATCATGTCAAAAAAAACACAGTTTAGTGTTTGTAATAGATGATACGTATTCTATGACCAGAGAAATAAGACAAGTGCGAGATGGAGCTCGTAAAATATTGGATGTAATTCTTAGTAAGCGGTCCAGTCAAATCGAAGATCTTATACACATATCACTTAATGATCCAGGTAAACATCTTCAAAGTATATATTTTTATAGAATATAATTATTTTATATTTACATTTTTAATCGTCATGGTTTCAAAGGTAAGTATAAGTCATGTGTTAGTCCCCACCTCCCCCCTTCCAAATTAAAATAACTGTATTAACAATGCAACAGGAAAATCACACATAATACCTGTCTAATATATATAGCATTCTTATCCAAGAAATACACTGAATTGAAACTTAAATAAACATTACCTAGTAATTGAACTTATAAATTATATATCGTAGGATGTAAAAATTTTTTAATTAAATTAATACGAATAGAATTAACAAGAGCATGGACCGCTGTCTATGGAAATAGAAAAAAACTTATAGGTACGTTTTGTGTTTGTATATAATTGAAATAGTAAATACACAAATGGATAATATCTAAGATGCTGTAAAATACATGTGTAGGTACAATAAAACGCCTGAAAACTCAACAATAGAAATTCTGAGGACTAAGATTTTGTGTACTAATGTATTTTGCCATTCAAAACAACTCAGTTACTTAAACTATTTTAATATAAGTTTTTGTCTATATAATAAAATTGGAGTGTCTGTTTGTAATATTGAAATATCCGTTTTTTACTACATGCATATGAGTAGATATAAATACGGTACATACACCAAAATAACATTTTTACAATTTTATCCTGTCTGTCTGTTTGTTCCGGCTAATCTCTGAAGCGGATGGATCGATTTTGACAGGACTTTTATGGGCAGGTAGTTAATGTAATAAGGAGTAACTCTCTCCTTACTCCTTATTACAGAGTAACTTAGGCTACTTTTATCTTAGAAAAATAAGGGTAAAATCCACGCAGACGAAGTTTCGGGTGCAGCTAGTCCTATATAATTGGAATAACTAACTTCCTAATAGATATGTGTGGTATATAATCGTTGCCTATAAACATACATAAACCTTATACAAAGTTTCAATTTATTACAAAGTATATAATTGATGGCCTCGTTTGTCCAGCTGTTTAGCACACCGCACCGCCTTACTTCTGATGACTATTAGCGGATTCGATTCCTCGCACCATGACCATTACATAAATATTAATTAATTATGTAACAACAAAATTACTTAAAAGAGCAACACGCAAGTTTCTTGCTCATTCTTCTTGTGATGAGACAGCTTTCCTAATGAGCGGTAGATTGAAAAAAAAATGTGATGACTATTCAAAAGTGCTTCAATGTAACTGTATCTGAATAAATGATAAAAAAAAACATTATATAGATACACATAACAAAAGCTCTGCTTAGCTTGAGTCTACATGGCGCTGTATGATTTGTCCAGCATTGTTATTATTATTGTTTTTCAGATGTATTAGTTAATACAGTAGTTAAGTCGACTGATCTCGTTCATTTCGAGGCTTCACTAGCTGCAGTAAAAGTCCATGGTGACGATAACCGTGATTGGCCCGAACCAACCCTCAGAGCCACAAAACTTGCTCTAGAACAGTGTTTGCCTGGTTCAGATATATATGTATTCACGGACGCACCGGCGAAAGACTATATATTATTTGACGATGTTGTTAGACTATGTCAAAAAAAACAGACTCAGGTAAGAAATGTAGGCCCAAAATTCATATATCGCATATTTTGCTCTTAAAGGTTCAGCAACACATTAAAACCTTCGAAGTATCAGTTAATTCTTGCTCTCAATTAACTATCTAACGCAATCAATGGTTCAATAATTTTAGGGCTTTTTCTAATTCTAGACCGTCTAGTCTAGTAGTTATTATAGAAAGTATACTTTATACATTGTACAAAATACCCCCTGTATTTTTATTTTTAAGATGATAAAATAATTCCAGGTCACATCTACGCGGTCTCCCTAGAAACCATCGTGGTTAATTCCCTAAATTCGCCACCATGTACTAGCATCCGATCATCTTCCATATTCCATTGGTGCCTTGCATATTCCGTTAACATAAGCAACTACATCTCAAATCATCAATTAAAATTTGATTATACTATAATAAGTATTTGACACTTAAAACTTCTTATTAGACCCTTGTATTTAAAGAATATTTTGAGCTCGATAATCTCTACGTTCAGTAATCAGTAATGCAATATTCAAGAAAATCATTTTGCATTGCAGGTAGTTTATGTATTAACAGCAGATTTCGAAGGTTATTATAATTATGAAAACGTTAAAGTTTTTTTCAAAATAGCGCAGGCATGTTCAGGACAAGCATTCATTATAAAAAAGAAAGAAGTATCAAAAGTAAGTGGTAACTTATTATGATTTTATATTACTAAAATACAAATGCTGTAGATTAATGATAACTTGTTTGAACTCTTTGGACATAAAAATAGGTAGGTACCTATATATACTGACGTACCTTTTATGAGTTTCTACTCCTGAGGACTACGGTGTCACACCACTATTTGAATTGGAACCCAGCAAGTTTCGAAAGCAAGCAGATCGGCAGCAGAAGTAGGTGTAGATATTATAATTCATATAGATATGTGAGTTTAACGAGTGTCGTGAAATTATTTAACTGTTTTCTTGGCTGCCTGTGTTGTAAAAAATGGTGTTTGTAATTGGAAGTTCGTGTAATAATTAGCTTGTACTATGAAAATTTAAATTTATATAATTTTATAGAAGGCTAATCGTAAGCTTGACAACTTAAATTAGGTACATTAAATTAAAAGAATAACTTTTGTTTCTCCATTTTAGATTCCTTCATACATTACAGAGACTGTTAAGGGAACAAAGAATATGATCACTTCCAGACAAATAGCACCCAACAAATCGACAAATATTACAGTGAGTATTTTAAATCAGCAGTTTCGTATGCCATTATATACTCTTCCACGAGTATAATATCAATCGCCAGTACTAATTGACTATACCTAGTTTTTATTTATCTATAGTAGTACCTAATAATTCAATAATAATAATATGTACGTATGAGTAATAAAGTATCCATCTACCAGAGATAGACTATAAAAAATCATTTGCGTCTTGCCTCCGCCATTGTACAACTTATTTTTTAAGATCGTTGTATCCTTAGTTATTTTAAATATATTTACTGTACAATAAAGTGTTACAAACAAACAAACAATCAACCCTGAAATGAAATTCCCACCAGATTATTTGAGATCTAAAAATTAAATTGAAATAAATTATCACTGTCAATAAAAAGTGCATTTTTAGGAGTTCTACTATACTAAGATTGTATCCTTTTTTATTTATAAAGTATGTTGTAGTTCACCATTGATGATAAAACTGAGTATGCTCTTATATCCTCATCTGGAAAAGAAATACAGCTAGAAGTAAATGGACCAAATATCAAAACAGAACGTAATATGTGGACATCGAACGTTAAGGTAAAAAACATTATAACAACTGGACACTTTAAGCTAAGTTTTTTTACTTAATATTAGATGGCAGCGTTGAACAACTCGTATATAAAAACAAAGAAGCTCTATAGCGCTTGTATTCGGTTAAAAGTAATTGTATTTTCTATGATATGATCTACCTGTATAGCTAATTTCATTCGAATGTTTCTAGTAGTTTTGTGTGAAAGTATAATAAACATCCGTACATCGGCATCGTACAATTAGTAAAAATCACGAGACCTTACCACGTTTTAGGCGGAGTTCCTACCGCCATGATAACTGGTAAACTGAAGAGCTACTGGTAGATTGAATAAACTTTGAACTATCTCCACACATCTTCGTTTGTTGCTACTATTGAAACTCACTTGATCCCGTGATTTTTCGTAATTGTAGGTATAGATAATGACAGCTTAAAATTTATAACAGTATATCGATCATTATAAACTTTACATTTATTATATTAGTAGGAAGTGCAAATTATATAATATTAATCTGTTATTGATTTTATTATGAGACAGAGTTAAATTTCATAATTTTATGGTGATACCAGGTGTTAAAGTTGATAAACCCCATAGCTGGTGACTACACCGCGCAGGTATGGTCTAGTCAATATGCATCTTTATATATTTTCGGTCGGACTGACTTCACATTTGTGCACGGATTTTCGGAATTAATACCAAAGTCATTACAGGACACTATCTCCCAACCAATTAGCGGTGAGTAAAATTCATAACTACCTACATCATACAATCATACAGATTCATACTTTGAACATTTACAATATATAAGATTTTTTTTTATATATAATTATGGTGGCATTCAAGAATACGGCCCATTATATGGTAAACGGTTACTGTAGCCTATGGACGCCTGAAACGCCAGGGTGTCGCGTGCGCGTTACCGACCCTAAAGAAACCTTAATATACTCTTTTTGAAAAACCGCATGTAGGTAGTTCATTTCACAATTTAAGTGTACGCTAAGGGGAACTGCTTGGAAAGATTTTATTATTACAATAATTTCATTAACGTTTAAGGAAGAATATAGTGTTATAATAAATATTACTATATTATACAAAAATCTGATAAATTCAATTTTATTTTATAAGGTACGTACGTGTTAGGTTGCATTAGTCATTTAGACAGTGAAGGCTTTACTTTTATAAATTCGCTTTGACAATGTATGATAAATTTCAGTAAAGATAATTCCATCCGAATTTAATGTAGTTGTAGTTTTAGATTAGGTATGTATAATTATTCTAGATCCGATGTTTGTTCCGCATAATTGATTAAATGAACTTTTGTAATATGGCTTGAATCTATAAATTTGGAATAGTCACTAAAAGTTTCACATTCAGGTACTCACTCATGCAATGTGTTCAAGATTGAGAATAAAATATTCAAGATTGAAAATATCGTATAGTTATAAGGAAGAAGTAATACAAGTACTTTATTATAAAATAGCTAACCGCCTCAGCTTCATACGGGTGTACACATATTATTCATATAAACCTTTCTCTTTAACCTCTCTATTGCAAAAAGTGCTTAAAAATCAGTTGCGTAGTTTAAATTTAAGCGAACCGACAGCGGAAATGACATCATTTTATACTATGTAAAGATAACTGTTTATAAATATTAAAGAAATTAATTAATTAATTTTAAGGTACAAAAAGTCACTTATCTGTATTTATTACTGATTCGAATCATAACATAGAAATAAAGACCGCTCAGATCCTAGACATGGACGAAAATATAATTAAAGAAATACCACTTAACAAAGTTAATGAGGATATGTATACCACTGACGCTCTTCTGTGGCCTACATCCATGTTCAAAGTTGCGGTAAGTACATTTATAAATAACATTTTTTTTTAATAGTAAGGCAATGGTGGAAAACAAATACAGGACAATGTCTAGAAACAATTGTCTAGAAACAACTGTCTCATTTTAGTTTGGAATTAGATCGCTCTGTGTGATATTTTGTCTGTTTATTTGCTTAATAATTATATTTGTTCTTGAACTTACTAAAAATATTACAGATAATTGGCACAAGTGAGAAGACAGGTGGACATATTAGAAGAATAGCAAATACGCCAATAGAAGCCCAAAAATATAGTAAGTGTCAATTACACATACATTTTTGTTTTGTAATATTATAATTTCAACTATTGCAGAATTAAAAAATATATATATTTATTTTCTATATTTAACCACTTCAGTCAATATATTTATTACTTATTCATTTTCAGAATCGATTCCTATAGTTATTAAAAACATAGAATCTTATTATAGAAATTAACAGTAGGTATCTATTGGTTCATTAAGCGCTATTAGTAGCTGCTTTTCAATTATCTTAAAACTGCATTTATTATTTTCATATTTTTGAAGGTGTTCCTCTATTTAAAAGACAGAGTAGATCGGAGATATCAGTACCCACTGATAGATTTCACGTTTGCCATTTTTATAAATGGTATAACATTTTTTTTCTAGCGCTACCAGAAAACAAGATTCCTGTGGCAACTATTAGTGAAGGTGCAAAAACAGCTATTGATTACAATAGTTCACTATTGTTGACGTGTAGAGTTAGTGCATATCCATCTCCAAACATCGTATGGACTGACAACCAGGGGACTAAGCTGATAACAGAGGTAGAGTAATAAAATAACAGCCTAATCCGCTAAATTTCACAAATTAACGTCTAGACATTTATTATAATAATTGTCTATTATAACGTACCGCGGAAAGTATGTGACAAGATGTACTAATATATAAGTTTCATCAGTAATGTCTTGTGTTTTAGTGTGCTAACACTGCACAATTAATTACATTAAAATTTAATGAACATGCTTATGGTAATTATATTTTAACTAGAATACTTCGAATTTCATTATTCGAAGAAAGCTATTCCTTGTTTATTTATAAGTTATTCAGAATGATATTGTTATATCGTTAATACTGTCATCTAAATCATTGAGACATCTATAAAACCTTGTTTTTGTGAATTTCAGTTCTTTCTTATATATCTTGATAAGTATTATTTGTATTTGTATGTACATTCAGAGTTCTGCGGTTGAATTACCTTATAGCTACATAAGTTACCTACGAAAATCAAATATAAAGCTTCCTGGAAAATATTTTTGTTTTGCAACTAACAATCAAGGAACAAGTACCACAGAAAGTATTGACGTAAATATTAATTCACCATTCATTGTCGAAGACCATGATGAAGGTAATCGTATTTTTAAAAGAAATAATTATATAATTTTCCACAGAGAGAAAAATGAAAAATATGCAGAACAAAAAAATAATGGTTGATTTATATAATGTTCAAAGTTATAAAAATATATAGTTCATAAAAATACTGTTGTGTTTGTAAAATAAATGTTTGACTATATTTACCTCGAGCATTATTATATTCATTAACATAATTTTCTTATGGTAGAGGAGACGACACGAGATACGCAGACAACTTTCTACAGAGTCTACTTCGGTAAATATTTACCTAATTATATCAATCAACATTTTAGGGGTCATAAGAATTGCATATGGAAAAGACATAATTGTAAAATGCACTATTACATCTAAATTTCCAATGAAAATTACATGGAAACATTATGACCAAATTATACAGAAATGGATAGATGTTGTACCGAAGGATGGAAAATATTCTATTTCAGATGACGAAGCGGAACTAAAAATCCTTTCAATAGATCTATACCAGGATGGATATTACAGCTGTAGTGTTATGCTAAAAGATGATGGTTACAAGGGACCAACGATAATAAAAACTGTTCTAGTTACAAATCTTAGTAAGGTTTCCTTCTTTATAAATTCGCTAATTAATTAAAATTATTACTTACTAATACTTCTTTTTTGAATTCTATAAAAATATTATTCGCTATGTAGAACCGCTATTAATTTTATATTGTTTATTGGGAAAAAAATATATTCTAAAGTCTTCATTTTCAGTTAGACCTCTTTTTGACAAAAAAGGTGGCAAAATAGTAGCGCAGCAGAACGACTCAGTAATCATATCGTGCAAGTAAGTATTTCGCGTAAAATATATATAGAATGAAATTCGGAATCAAATCAGACTTTTAATAGCTAAAATGATAATGACAAATACGAAAATGCAATATACGTACAGGTTGATTAGTATGACTATGTAATATTATGTTATCTGTGGTTTAACTAACTCCTTTATACTAGATATTATTATTATTACATTTTTTTACCACAAAAGATAGCTTATCTCCGTCCTCGTGATTAAATTGTATTGATAATAAAAATTTCTTAAAATCCGTTTTGTAGTGTAGTTGTGCAAATATAAAAAGTAGAGAGATAGACTAACATATTTCTAATATCGAAATTTAGGATAATGAAAACTTATGGTCAGGATATTTGATTTTTATATTAGTATCAAATATCCTGACCATAATAGTTTACAAAATAATTATTTTTTCAGAGTCCGCCTTGGTAAACCTAAGCCGAAGGTAGAATTAATATATAGGAATGTTAATTCAGATACCTATAAATTTATAAATTTAACAAACGATGAATTAGTTATCGAAAGTGCTGGTTTACGACATGCTGGTCGCTACAAATGTATGGCAGTAAACATTGCGGGGCGCGATGACGCAGCAACCGAATTGTTTGTGGAAGGTAAATTGAAAGTACTAGCAGAAATATTCACATCGATCCAGTTCATCAATTTTATTACATTTGCCCCCTTGATAATTTCTTTAAAATTACAGGTGCACCTACTATTATCAATATAAAAACAACTATAAATGCAGTTACTAACGATATCAGTTTAAGAATACCATGCAAAGTCGAGGGATATCCAAAACCTGAAATCGCGTGGCAAGTAAACGAAACTCAAGTTATATCAGGTGCGAGTCGTGATTACAATAAATCATGTGATTTATCATTCAAAATATATTATTCATAACACATATTGAATATTTCAGGAGAAAAATTCGTAATCGATGATTATTATCTTATTATTAATAATCCTGATATGAATGACACTAACTATTATATCTGTACGGCAACCAACAAGAAAGGAACTGAACAAAAAAGGTTTAAGGTTCAAGTCAATCGTAAGTATATTAATTATTTCTACTCATAGCTTATTTTATTTTGATAAAATACTTTAATAAAGTCAGTCATCCTTGAACATAATTTCAAATGGTTATTAACTGCCGTCATATGACGAAAAAAAATTCTTGTTACAAAACGTTTTTGTTCTTAGATTCATCTATATTTAAAATATAAACCAGTGACAAAATACTAATTGTTGCAGCTAATCTTATTTCCAATGATACATTTGGCAATTGGCGTGAGATATTTCTAACAACAGAAAAGGCAATGAATTTAAGTTGCTCATTACCAATATCTCTTTCTGATACTGTAAGGTGGTTTTTGGTAAGCTAAATTCTAAATTTTAGTTGTCAAGATATCGGAATATCTCTGTCATACTATAGCAACATTAAAAATTGTTCAACAGTCTATAGTCAGACGTCTCTTATTTCTGAAAGAACATTTGGCTAAGCCGAGTTAGCCAAATGTTTTGACGCAAATAAACTCGTTCATTTACATTCATCAATTAATTCACACAAGCCAATTATAAATACATATTATTAATGTAACTATACCCAGTATATTCTTTTTTTATTTTTAATGTTGTAGTTCCAAGATTAACCAGATGGATACGAATGAACAAATTACTGTTAGTTTTGGATTATAAATTTGTTGTTAATAACGTCTTGGTCTATAATATAAATTGTTTAATTAAATTGCTTAATGAGGGCTTACTATATACGTTTCAGAATGGTTCCTTCACAAATGTTATGGGAAAATACTTATTTTTAAATAATACTACAATTTATCATGATGGCAACTACACATGCCGAGTTAGCAACAGGCGTGGTTCCGTATCGCAGACATATCGAGTTAACATAGGACATGCACCATAACTATGATTTTTAATCATGACTTTAGTAGAGTATAATCACCAACTTTTTTACGACACTTGTAGATTTTTTGTAATAAATAAAAATATCATCAGTTGTTTTTTTACCTATACAATTTAATTTGTTTTTCGGAAAAGAAAAACACGACATGATGATCAAAGTTTAATAAAATACTTCTAATAAACTAATCAATGCACTCTTACATAAATCTTAATGCTATCACTACCCACATCATTATAGGCGATACAGATGTAGTAACCTTCATTTGTTTTATTTACATTGCGAAGCACAAGAGTGTTGTTAAGATTACCCCTGTAACAAATGAAATATTATTCCTTTTATCTGGCATTTGTTTTGTAACAGTTGAGTCTCGTTTCAGCAATTGAATCTAGTTCAAATTTAAACCTGTTTTAAGTCTCTAAATAGTATAAAATGGTAATTTGTAAGTTATTGTTGATTTCAGTTTATGGATTAAAGTTATTATTGTTATTATAACTGTCATAATTCCATATTTGTTTAATAAGCTTTTATCTATCTATGATGTATCTGCAGAGTTGAAAGCTAACTCATTCTGAATATGGCTAATGACTCAAGATAAATTTATATAGGCATAAAGAACAGAATTGATCCCCTCTATAGATTGGTATGATATCTCTACTTCAATATCGTATATTTGGCATTTACTTAATGGCACTCTCATTTTAATTGATAAAAATTTGTTTTATTTCGAATTTGATTGAAATCCCTTCAACTGTTTGTGTTAATGACTTACAAACATCCTTATTTAATATATTCTGTCAAATACATATAAAGATAATTATAACAGATTCTATATTAAATATCACAATATAGGACAATCATACGTACCTCTGCAATACAATATTTGTAGAACCTGATGGTATAAATTCCCATTTCGTCTTGGGAGCAGGATTACCATGCTGCACATTACAAGCTAACATAGCAGAGTCTCCTGTGCCCACATCTATTGTTGCTGCTTCTGGTCGGATATATGGTGGAACTGTCGAGCAAAGTAAGTCTTAACTAAAAGATTTATATGATTGAAATTCTAGAATCTTCCATTATATGCTATTATAAATTACCTACAAGCTATTTATTTAATATTTACCTAAGACATTGACTTTGACTGTTTTCTCGGCTCTTCCGAGTTCATTTTCTGCTATGCAATGATAATTGCCAGAATCTTCTGTTAAAGCTCTGAATCTAAAGAAACAACATGAAAAATATGATATAACTAAGCAATAAGTATAATATGAATAATAGAGTAACTTGCTTTTCAAAATTAGATGTTTAATAGATCGTGAAAAATTAGTAAACATTATTAAAGATGGAATATAAAAGAATGGAGCGAAAGAGGACGATATAGTTGAAATAAAATCGTACTAAGTATGGTTCTTTATAAAATTATAATTAAATGAATAACATATATAGATAATTTTTTTATATGGTTTAATATACATAGATAACTAATCATATTCATGAATACAAATATTCGTATCGTGCAAGGAATCGAATTAGCTATATTGCGATGTTAGCTATTAAGTTTATTTATACATATAAAAAAAGTCATTCATACCTGTGCGTATTCTGATTATCAGTGTCATGTCTACTATTAAAGGGTACAATGACATCACCTTGCGACATCTCCCATCGTACTCTTGCGGGAGGTATAGCGTCCACTTCACACTGTAATTGAACTAGTTTGGTTTCTTTTACAGTTAGGGTATCATCATCGCTGTTCACTATGATAGGTGCATCTGTAAGAATGTTTATAACCATATTGTATTTTAAAATCTTATGGACGAAAATCAATTATTGCGACAGAAAATCTTCATTACTAGATGACAACCAATACACAATTTAATACTGATGTTTAATCAATTTGGTGAATCATTAAATATAGTAATATGACAGGGTAGTATAATTTTATTTATTTTTGGTGAATTCATTTTCCGATTATCATTACTAACTTTAATGTACTTCTAACTTAGAGTTTTTGTGTGGATAAGGCTATTGCAATAAATAGTCATTCCATTAAATTACTACAATAAACATCATTGTATTGAACTAATCAATAACTTCGATAAGTACTGTTATTAATATTCATTAGTATTATATTTATTACATACATTTCACTTTCGCTATTAATTCTTTAGTATCTTCTCCTATTATATTTTTAGCTAAACATTTATATACTCCTTCAAGTTCTTTACTGACAGACGAAAATTTTATTTTATTTTCTTCGACGATTACACCAAGTGGAGTTGCACCAAAGTAAAAATCATCATTTGATTTATACATCCATGATATAACTGGTTCTGGTATTCCCTTGAGCAATCTGAAAGAACAATACTATATATTAATCATTTACATCCACAATAGCGAATTTAATAAATGTAATAAATTGTCCCGTTAATTATTATAATTCAGGAAATAGGTACAGTTATGTAGTCGATTTTTATTAATACCAGTTACGTAGTAACTAGTATTAATACGAGTATTTTCTTAGCTTATTAATATGCTAAAACACATTTCCTTTATTTTATTTATTCATTTATTTTATCTATTTAGTATAAACAGTGGCACTCAATGAGGAAGTAGCTATTATTATTGCTAAAAGTTGCATATAGATGGCGTGATTGGTATCGATGGAATTCTTCATAGTTTTGCAAACGTTTTAAAAAACAAAACTGTGTTTTCAAAAATGTTTAATCAATTTTTAAAAAGTTATATATACATGTTAAAATGAAATAATGCGTTTAGAAAAGTAATTTTCATATATTTACTCATTTTGTTATTTTCCAGTACTTAATTACACTTTAATCAGTGCTAATATGGGGCTCAATGTTTTCAAAATGCTTTCATAGATGGCATTGTCGTCATTTGTATCGGCCTAATTAAATGTCTTTTTTATATTTTCCAATAATAAGCACTTAATATATTATTATTGTAAATTAAACATATAAATTTTTTTTAAGTAAATGCCAAAAAATAGCCGAACAAGTCAGTAATACTATTTCCAATAATACTTATGTATGAAGTGTTGTCATATTAAAAATAAATACATGTATTATCGATTTTTTTGAATAATCGATAACAGGATTTTATTGCAGCGCATTATTCGATGATGCTTTTAATGAGTCGTTGTTAAACAGTAAATTTTCATTATTTTGTATTATAGCAGTGTTCCGTTTCAAAGAACGGAATATAGTAGTACATTATTAGTGTCGTTGGTTATTTACATTTGTACTAAAAAATCGATTATGTCCAGCAGTGGACGTCTTCCGGGCTGCGATGATGATGAAAAAATCGATTACATAATAATTTAAAATATCGAGTACGAATCGTAGCTGTCTTCGAATACTGGCAACTGGTAAGATTAAAATAGTATTTAAATAAAAGAGAGAAATCGACCCTAACTCGAATACCATAAAGTTGATTTTCCTTTCTCATTAATATCATAGCAGTTTGTTTTTGACTTGCGTATGACTCTGTGGTATGATGTTTAACGTGTATTGTTTAGGGAATGCAATCCCGAACCCGCGGGATCCCGATCTCGCGAGATCTCGTGTAATTTTTCGAGATCAATCCCGACGCATCATATGACGAGATCCCGTTCGAGATTGACGGGATTGGGCGGCAGTGAAAAAGAAATAAAAAATATAATCACACGATTATATCGTAAAGAACCAAACCAAGCAGATATTAATACGGCAGTACTAATCGAAGATGACTTGCCTCTTTCAATGATTGCAGAAGATTTGAATTTACGTGCTGCACAAACTAATAAATCGCTTCAAGAGGAATTAGAAGAAACTCTGCGAGCTTCTAAAAGTCCTTTTGCACGTATATCCACGTCCACGAGCTTAGACAAATTAGAATCTACCATTAAAAAAGAAATGGATTTGTTTGAGTGTGGAGGAACAAGGGGGCGATTTTTGCAGTTTGCATATAATTGCTTCGCCACGCTGTTGCCAACCAGCGTTGAGTCGGAGAGGGCATTCTCAGCAGCGGGGTACATTGCAACGGACATTAGATGCCGTTTAGCAGATGAAACTATTAATACCCTTTGTTTTTTGAGGAGTCATTTTCAAAATCACTCTTTTTCCTAATTCCCTTGAAATAAGCTTATTGTTTTGATTACTTAATTTACCTACGTTAATTTCCTTACAACCTGATTATTATTTAGTTGGTAAGATTAAAGAATAAAGGTTTTTATTTTCTTTCGAGTAATATGTTACTTTAGTTAACCTCACTATCACAAACAAGCAGTTATTAGCTTTTTCAGTCATCTGAATTCAACATTTTTTTTAAATTTAGACGGGATCCCGAAAATTCCGGGATCCCGCGGGATCCCGAATTTGCAATCACGAGTCGGGATTGCATTCCCTAGTATTGTTATTGTACGGTGCATACATTTCAAAAATTATATTTTAATGTAGGTACATACATTTCTTTCATACATCTCATACATTTAAAAAAATATATTTTAATGTAGGTACATACATTTCATACATGTCAAAAATTATCTTCTAATGTAGGTACATACATACATTTCTTTCATACATTTCATACATATCAAAAATGAACTTTTTATGTAGGTACATACATCTCATACATTTCAAAAATTATCTTTTAATGTAGGTACATACATTACTTTCATACATTTCAAAAATTATATTTTAATGTAGGTACATACATTTCATACATGTCAAAAATTATCTTTTAATGTAGGTACATACATTTCTTTCATACATTTCATACATTTCAAAAATGAACTTTTTATGTAGGTACATACATTTCATACATGTCAAAAATTATCTTTTAATGTAGGTACATACATTTCATACATTCCAAAAATTTCATACATTTCAAAAATTATCTTTTAATGTAGGTCCTTACATTTCATACATTTCAAAAATTTCATACAATACATTTCTTTCATACATTTCAAAAATTATCTTTTAATGTAGGTACATACATTTCACACATTTCAAAAATTTCATACAATACGTTTCTTTCATACATTTCAAAAATTATCTTTTAATGTAGGTACATAACACCCCATGTCAGACCCCTTGTATTTGGAAGAAACTTAAAAATAATGCCAAAAATATTAGATGAATATATTTTTAATACGAATATTGTTTTATTTTTGTTCATCAACTTTATCCCTCACTAACAATACTAGTAGTAGTACATAACCTGGTTTATACCGCTAAAGATATTGAAAGATATACGAGTAATTCAGAATGTTATCAAGTTCAAAATAAGCACACATTACTTGCTTAGATAACAGAGTAATATTACTCGTAATAAAAACATTTGTAACACCCATATGTATACTACGTATGTATAGTAAGTACTTACGCTGCGGCGCCGTGAGACTCGTCTACCTCATCTACTCATCTACGCGCGGTAACCGCGCCGACCGACCAATAGGAGCGCGCCTCTCGTGTTTCCAGAAAGTTTGCGACTAACGGACGATACAGTAGTAAGGCAATGAGTGTCCCAGTTACATCATTATAATATTTTCTAGTTAAATTTTATTGTAATATACAAATTTCGCACTAAATAACGTGTTACCCCGTTACACATTTCTAATAATGAAAAACCTAGACCGACCCTGTTCACTTAATCTTACAAGATCTGACTTTAAAAATTACGATATCCTCATATAGCCTTTCATTTCCCCTTTCAATACTTTTTCGCATTAAAAAGTAGCCTTTCTCAGGGTCTACATTATCTGTCTACCAAATTTCAATTAAATCAGTTCAGTAGTTTTGGCGTGAAAGCGAGACAAACAGACAGACTGAGTTACTTTAGCATTTATAATATTTGTAATAATATCGCTATTAAAAATAGGGGTTGGTGAAAGACGGGTGAAAATTTAGGCGTGTATGTATTTTCAATGTAACATTATAAATAAATAAAAAATTGTCCATAATACAAAAAAATATTTTTTCGGGGTAGGGCACCCCTATGACTTAGGGGTATAAAAAATAGATAACAACCCTACCTCAGACCTGGCAAGTATACATATCATATTTCATCAAAATGTGGAAGAAATATGCCAACTAACACTGTGATACAAAATTTATATATAAGATATAGCGGAATTCTCATTAGGTAAAAGAGGGGTACATCGTAGAATACATGAGGTATATACCAGTAAATTAATTGTAACTAAAATCAGTCTCATACATATAACGATTGAAATAAAAAATCGTATAGCCCGATTTTTATACGTACGAGTATAAACGTATCAAAATCAGGCTATACGTATAGCGCAGACGCGTTACAACATATCAAAAAAATAGGCATGGAATGTAAAATAAACCATAACACAATAGGTATATACATTGGCACATAAGCCATATCTGCAGAGTGTCGGCTAACGATATTATACCTACACATTTACATTGAGTCTTGAATCGTCCCTAATGAGGTACACGATACAGTTACCTACATATCTATTATATACATATCTTTGCAAAACAGATGTCATGTAGACTGAATTGACTGCCATCTATTTTCATGCTTTGTTACTAAGCAGCCACTAGTAATCCGAACTGCTTCAGATCTACCGTCATCTAGCGGCTACGGTGGCGAAATAAAATAGCCCGAAGAATAGCCCGAGTTAGGAAGGAACCATTTTCTTGTATGGGATGGGGTATCTGTATGTAATATTATGTTATCTGTGGTATAAATATTAAATTTTATAAAAAACTACATGTCCAAGGTTTCATGCATTAATTTAAGATTTTCTAAACTTAACTGACCTGCATTCGATTTCCAATCTTTCTCCTGGCTTTAGTAGTATATCTGAATCATTTAAATCTATTTTTGGTACTTCTGTAGAAAAAGACGATCATATCAATGTACATATGTACCAATTATAAAATACAACCCATTGCAAAATTATTTTGTAAAAATGTGCAAAAATGTCATTTCGCTATATCTTTGCTATACTTGAGTATACGTTTAAATATGAACAATTAGATCAAATACATTACCTAATCCTGATATTTCAACTGTGGCTTTAAAACATTTTGTCTCCACTGTATTAGACACAGTACATTTATATTCCCCAACGTTCTCTAAATTCATGTTTTTAATTAAAATAGCATTATCTTCTAATACAATTTGCCTATTATTAGAATCAATTATAGTATCGTTATGATACCAAGTTATTATAGCTTCAGGATATGCTGATATTTCACAATACAATCTTCCTTCTGCACCATACTCAAATATTTCATCTGAAATGGATATATAATTAAGAAACAACTAAATGCGCCCCGGGGATATGCATGTGTACTCACACACTTTCATAATTGAGTAGGGCAAAATATGTCGCCCTAAGAACGAGATGGGGCTTGGCCTACACCATCTACAGGGCGGGCCAATACCTTCAGAGTCGCGGTAAAAGGTAAGGCGACTTCGTGTCTCCGGCAATGGCGCTCGTAAGTACACAGTGTTATTCTTTAGTGGGTACAATCCCACATACCCCATATGTCTCTTGTGTCTAGTGGAACGGTCTTTTGAAGATATTCCACACCATAAAAAAAACGGGTACATCTGTTAAGTGGATGTCGGTTAAAGTTTATCTTAATATTTGAAATACGAGTAGCAGGGGAATTGCAAATGAGCATTTCAAGAAAGACTACGCTTTTTTCTTGGTGGTTTCAATTACATTCATAGTACAAAATTTTACATCTTGAAACAGTGAAGAAATTGTAAAATTCGAGAGATATATTCATAAAGAGATAAAATAAAAACAATAAACAACTTTACACACTCGTCAGTTCACTAAGTTAAGCGTTTGACCATCGAAACAACTGAAAATCTTAACGGGAGAAATCAATACAATATTTATGATAAATCAAATAATCTTGCATAGTTTTTGTTTAATATTTTCTGTGAAGCATCCGCTGGATATTATGGTACAAAACCAATGCAATATGTAGTTTTAAATATGAAGTACATACTATGTTAATATGTAATATCAGGTTAGTAAATTACATCTCATTTTGTAAATAATACCATACTAATATTATAAATCAGAAATTGTGTCCGGTTGTCTGTCTGTGTTTGTATGTTACTTTTTCACAACTTAACGACTGAATGGATCTTAATGAAATTTGACATGAAGATATAGGTGTCCTTTTATCTCAAAAATATCTGAAAGGGGGGTGAAATAGGTATGGAAAGTTTGTGTAGATCTATTTGAGAGTAACAGCATGTTATACATAAAACAAAGACATCAAACTGATCTATTCTATTTGTACTTACTGTCCGGTGTCCGTAAAACTTCCAAAGTGGCGGTTCTGTTTACAAATATTTCAACAGCTTGGGAATCTTCGCCCTCCAAACTTCTAGTTTTACAGTAAATAGTCGTGTTGGACATAACATTATATACAGTCACATAAGTTATATAAACATAAGGTATTTCCAATAATATAGTCTGAAATATGAAAACGAACACACAAGTAATAACTGCCACTAACACTAAAAGTTAATAAAAGATCTATTTAGATATGTTATTAGCTTTTAGTGTTAGTGGCAGTTATTAAGAACTTAAGAAAAATTATTTCTTACTTCGGATCTTAACATTTCTCCATTATAGTTTTCCCACCATGTATTTGGTTTGGGATATCCGTTAATTCGAGCAGAAATTGTTGTATTCGAACCAAATTCTAATAAAGTATTGTAGTTAATAATTTCAATTGAAGGTTTTCTGGGTGTTGGTGTGGTAACTGTAAAATAGATTTAAAAAAATATTTTATTTAGAACATAATTACGAGGAATGATTTAATGTATTAATTGATTTATTTGTATTATACTTGCTTCACTAAATAATTATTAGTTATATTAAATAATAAATTTAAACAGTCTTTGACATTGCACATTTCTTTTTTGGGTTGTTTGGGCTATTGTCAGGTGCATGGACCTGTAGCACTGCGACCTACATATGTAGATCTATTGTGCTCACCCTTTTTAAAGTAACCCAGACCCGTCAGGGACAAGAATTAAAGGAAAATATTCTATTACATTATAAATATTCTTAGGAGCAATGGTTTTTATCTCCTCAGGAAAGAGTGTAAACTTTCCAAAGAAGGTATTTCGTTTATGCATATGTGGGCTACAACCACATAGGATGTGTAGTGGCGTTTCCTCTTCAGTTTGGCAAAATCTGCAGATTTAAATTGTGCATAGGCCTAGGTTTACTATATGTTTATTTCATTTGCAGTGTCCTGTGAGGGCCCTAATCATCATGCATATGTTTTTACTGTAATGGTTGTTGTTAGTTAAAATAGCTTTAAGGGAGGTTTTAGTTAATCTAAATTAATGGTGTTTAGTAATGACAATAGATATATGAGAGGCGGATTGATGGATTCTACGATGCCCATGATACTACTGTAATATTATATTATCTGTGATACTACGTATATCTACAGGTAACTATTATTACGGTCTATCAGGTGAACCGGTAGTTTTTATATAAAAGGTAAAATAGCATTGTATTTGTGAATATTGTACTTATTTTGCATAGACTTACCAAATTTTTGAGGTTGCAAAACTCCGGTCGAACCAGTAATGCTAATTTTTTCCGATAGCACTAGAATCTAAATAGAATAATGAATATTATTGATAATTATTAGTTATATTTTCAAAATACAGGACAATAGAGCTAGTTCTATGGATACTATACAACTGATAGAAAGAAAGTAAGAAAAATATTTTATATGTATATATATACTTTATACATTATTTTGTTTATAATAATAATCTATATTACCATTATAATAAATAGGGGCACCGTTGTAGTTTGAAAATTTTGCAACAATGGAGGAAATTGGATGCCACTAATTTCATAATGTAAATACGGCTTTATATCTATGTACCTTCATGACAGTTACTCCCACATTTCCCACAATTGCTCACATTTCGCTCGATATATTCGAATCGTGCCATGGAGTGAGTAATTAATATTATAATATTTTTATTTAGTAGTAAAATGAAGTAGCTTTCTGCTGTCTTTTCGCTTAAATCTTTTAAATTACTCATCGGATTTGAATGCAATTTTTAGGAATAGATAGGATGAGTCAAGAGGACCGGCGCGGATAGGTACATAATAAAATTTAATTGAGTATAGGACCAATTTACTTACGGAAATTTTAAACGTTTGTTTAGAATCGACGTAAATATTGGTATAATAGTATCCAGGACAATTCATGATTTGTTCGACACTTAAAGTCTCACTCTGAGTATCATCCAGGAAATTCAACTCAACCTTGATAGATGTTATACGTATGTTAGCCGGTATTGATATGATAATGTAATTAGGCGCATCTGAAAAATATAAATTTTTATATTTGACCTAATAATTATTATAATAACCCTGAACAATTTATACAGCACATTCTAGTCCCTAAATAAGCAAAGGTGTTACTGTTGCTAGACAACTGATAGAAATATATATTTTTCAATATATTTTTCCTTTATACACTCCACATAATATACATAGAAAATACGAAGACCAAAGATAAGATAATATTATATATATACCCAAACCAAGGCAATAATTATACTTCTGAATACAAAAGTTTGAAGATAGGGGGAATCGAACCCGCGATCATCAGAAGTAACGCAGCGATGACGTCAATTGTAAATAAGTTCCAAATAATATCACAAAAGTGTATTGTATTTTATTGCTTATAGCGATAAAACCGCCTTTTGTTATTAATTTTCTACTAACTGTTTTTCTTATTTTAATTCTAAGTTTTCTAAGTAAATTATTTGATAAGTATTTTTAACCTTCCATTGTCCTCAAAGAACTATTTTGTTAATTAAAATTCAGTTTTGGCGGAGTTGTTCCATTTGTAAATACGATGAGCAAAGGAATGAAAAGATTACCTGGTAAAGGTGTCCCGGTTGTTTCCCTCATGTCTTTAGCTACCCGCGTCGAGAATCCGTATTGAAATGGCAATTGATTTCTTTTAAACAATTTAGCTGTACATATTCTGCAATGAATATTGGCAGTGTACATCCCTACTTCAGCTTTTACGCGTATCACCTAGAAAATTATTGAAAAATATTAGAAATATAATAACAATAATATCAACATCTATTCACACACGAAGAAAACTATTATTATAATCCAACGCGACACATCGAACCAGTGCACCTAAGATACCGACAAAAATGAGTCTACTTCAGTCAGTCACGAATCTTCATTTTTTCAACGATTTCGCCAAGATACTCGTTTTGTAAAATGTGTTTCGGTTGTAGAGTGAGAAATTGCCTTAAGGTGTTAAGTCCGCCATATGCACCTTTATTTATGTATTAAAGTTTTAATAAATAAATTACAGGCAGATATATAAATTATATTGTATGTAAAAATAAATGCTAAATATTGATAATTTGTTACAATAATAATGTTGTAAGTAATAACAATTGCGTGCGGGCTAAACTATAAAATATTGAGTGTTAAATATGATAAGAGGCATGACATCTTAGTCTTCCGGAATGCCAATTCAATCACATGGTAACAAGACTGTTAGTTAGCGCTGTTCAAATGCGTATAGGTATAGACGACGGCTACCACTTACCATACAATTACAATTTCAGGTGGGCTATTTTATTTGCCACTTTAATTACATAAAAATAAAAATTTCATATGTTTTTGGTGTAAGTTTATTTTTTTTTACTCTTCTTACTTAGGTACGCTATAATCTTCACAACAGTATCGTTTCTACGTAAACCTAAAGAACAGACTGCCTCTTGTATTATTCACACTCATTAGTAAGTCGTCCTTAGTCTTTGTATCACGAGAGAAAACTTCATGTACGTGATAACAAAGAAATTTAGTTACTTACCAGTTAAATTATTTTTAACAGAAGTAGCTAAAAAAAAATTAACGAACATAAGTGGTAAAAATATTGTACATAGGGATTTTGATACATGGGTGTCGCACAGCCTCTACAGACTAGATCTATTCTATCTATTCTATATATATATATATATATATATATATATATATATATATATATATATATATATATATATATATATATATATATATATATATATAACACCTCTTTGGGCACTTTGTTGATCACGCCACAACCTAAACACTTGCCGATTCCACCTTTTGCACTGAATAACTTGACTCCTATCGCGTATATCTCAGGCGGTATGGCAACGTCGCATTCTATTTTGCGATGCGGCCATATATATTCGTCGATAGTACGATATACTCGACACTTTTTTTACTAATAATTCGTGACTGAATGGCTCCGAACGGCTAAATTTTTGGTATACACAAAGACTTTTTGGCTCTGAATATATTCCAAAAATCAATTAATTATGTTGATCACTTTATATACTCGTCCTTACTGCGATACTTACTTTCATCCGAATATATATAGATACCGTAACGGTCTATCAATTATGACTTTATTAATTTACTAATGTAGATATTTTATATTCGCAATGCTCCATACATGCAAGCTCCAGCAACGGTGGAGGCAGGGTCCCCCCTGCACCGTACACCGCACCCCGCGCACACAAACAAATTAGATATTTTTTGAATACACAAAGACTTTTTGGCTCCGTATATATATTTCAAAAATCAATTAATTGTGTTGATCACTTTATATACTGGTCCTTACTGCGATACTTATTTTAATCCGAATATATATAGATACCGTAACGGTCTATCAATTATGAATTTATTAATTTACTAATCTAGATATTTTATATTCGCAATGCTCCATACATGCAAGCTCCAGCAACGGTGGAGGCAGGGGGAGCACCGTACACCGCACCCCGCGCACACAAACAAATTAGAATAAATTAAATTCATAAGATTATTTATGTATTTCGACTGCCTCGGTGGTCACACCGCTTTACATCCGATGGTCGCGGGTTCGATTTCTCGCACGGTGCAAACATATGTACTCATCGGTCATCGATTGATTTCATCGGTCTGGGTGTTTTATATGTATATTATATATGTATTTACAAGATAAAAATATCTATTTATATCAGTTCAGTATCAGTCTGTGTTAATTGTCCAGCGCTATTTATTATATTTTTATAAACGGTTATCTTTTTCCATCGCACCGCTCGCTATCGACAGTGAATTCATAGAAATGTCACTCTAAAAACAAAAATAGTTTTGTATTTCAAATACTAAATGCAAAATAGGTATTTTCAAAATACTTTTTCAAAATAAAGTACCTTTTGAATTTTTGTCCAAACCTCAGATATTTTATTTATTTTACATAGGTATATCAATCATTACATAGTGTAGTATAAAACAAAGTCGATGTCGCATCTAACAGTACATAAATAAAGAAAGAAGACTTTTTGGCTCTGATACCGTAACGGTCTATCAATTATGAATTTATTATACCTAATCTAGATATTTTATATTCGCAATGCTACATACATTGTAATATCCGCCTCCATTCATTGTAACGGTGGAGAGACTAAATAGTTGAATAAAACTGAATAAGCAGTTGCTCCACTCTATAGGTATGCGTCGTCGTCGTATGCTGTTCATTTTTTCACTCGTTTTGGCGCCAGGAGACATAATAGCATAGTTTACATGATTTTAAGGGAAACATACGACAAAAAAATTCCCGTAAAATGTAAAAGATAAAAAATGGTTATTGTTGGTTATCCTTGAGAGATAGACATATACCATCACGGACTTTTTTCTTGACCTTATTTTGATACATCTCAAAGCACTAGACAATACGCATTTTCATTAAACAGTATTGTATTTTTTTTATTTATTTAACTTTAATGCACCAAAAAATTTGTACATGTGGCGGACTTAATATCTTGCCGCGTTATTTACCAGGCAACCATGAGTGGTGCAGCGAAAGATTATTGGCGGTGCACTAATATAAATAAGAAATGTCAAAAAAAGATATATAAATACAAAGCAAAATATACATTTCTATAAAAAAATAACAATATACATACATAAATATATAACCCATAAATGTATAAATAAATACATAATGACCCGATAATCAAATTATAAGTACAGTCTCAAATTGAAAGTAAGAAAAACAGAAAATATAGAGAGAACTATAGGGATATAACAGAAAGATGTTAAAAAAGGAGAAGGACAGTAAAAACGTTACAAATTTAAATAATATTCCCGCAATTTCTGTTTAAATGAATTTATTACATTATTATATATATTAGGCATACGACTAGCCTTATGACTGTTACTTTTTTTTTAATCTATACATCTATACATGTAAATAAAATTGGAGTGTCTGTTTGTAATATTGAAATAACCGTTTTTACTACTTGCATATGAATATAAATCCGGTACATACACCAAAATAACATATTTTACAAGTTTTGTCTGTCTGTCTGTCTGTTTGTTCCGGCTAATCTCTGAAATAGCTGGACCGATTTTGACGGGACTTTTTTTGGCAAGTAGCTGATGTAATAAGGAGTAACTTACGCTACTGTTATTTTAGAAAAATAAAATAAAATTTCACGCGGACGAAGTCGCTGGGGCCAGCTTGTCTATAGATATACCGAGATTTAATATTTAAGTTGCTATTATGTTGTTGACAAAATTTTACTGTAATGTTACTATTACGTTATCCTACACAATTTGTATTATTTTGGATGAATAAATAAATAAATAAATAATAATCTATACATCTATACATACAAATAAAATTGGAGTGTCTGTTTGTAATATTGAAATAACCGTTTTTTACTACATGCATATGAATATATATAAGGTACATATACCAAAATAACAATTTTTATAATTTTAGTCTGTCTGTCTGTCGGTCTGTTTGTTCCGGCTAATCTCTGAAATGGCTGGACCGATTTTGACGGTACTTCTTTTTGGCAGGTAGCTGATTTATAAGGAGTAACTTAGGTTACTTTTATTTTAGAAAAATAAAGTTTAATTCCACGCGGACGAAGTCGCGGGAACAGCTTGTTTTTAATAAAAACATCTTTTTTGTGGTACTTGAGAATGTTGAAGCCTGTTGTTTGTAATATTGAAATAACCGTTTTTTACTACTTGCATATGAATATAAATACGGTACATAATACACCAAAATAACATATTTTACAATTTTTGTCCGTCTGTCTGTTTGTTCCGGCTAATCTCTGAAATGGCTGGACCGATTTTGACGGGACTTTTTTTGGCAGGTAGCTGATGTAATAAGGCTACTACCTAGTAACTTAGGCTACTTTTATTTTAGAAAAATAAAGTTAAAAACCACGTGGACGAAGTCGCGGGAACAGCTACTGTATAATATATTAGAGATACCTATGTGTTTTTTTATTGATGACTAGCTGTACACGGGATTTCGTCCGTGTGGAATTTAACTTTATTTTTCTAAAATATAAGAAGTTAAATTCCACGCGGTACAGCTAGTTGTCGGTAGTCTAGCGATTTAGCTAGCACACTGCTTTGATTCCTGCTTGGTGGTCGAGGGTTCGATTCCTCGCACGCTGCAAACATTTGTATTCATGTGTATGATTGTTTGTAACGGTCTGGGTGTTTTCTATGTATAGATAATATATATGTATTTACGAAAAAAATCTTTGTATTTATATCAGTTGTCTAGTACCCATAACATAATCTTCAGCTAGCTTAACTTGGGTCTAGATGAAGCTGTGTGAATTGTCCTGAGATTACTATTATTATTAATTGGTACACAGGTAAACTACTAACTAGGCCATATTGGTGTTGTTTGTTATGGTGAAAAAACTAGTATATATATAAGTTACACGTACAATTTCAAAGACTTATTTCTTCAAAACTACTGGCTATTCTGAAATAAAACTTTAGGGTTTGTATATGTAATGTTTGCATATAAAATATGATTAAAGGTTACCAGTACCAGTATTTACACTTTTACTGAACAAACAGAGTTGTTTAATAGTGAAAATATTGTGTGGAAGACATCAATTACTTTCAGTACATGTATAGCTTTTCTCTTTTCCTAATTATTATTATTATTAAGTTTAAAGTGGTTGAATTTTACGTAAGGGGTATTTATACATTATTTCTAATTTACCATTTATTTTAAGTTTTTTAAACTCTATTCATCGAGACCTATCTAATGAGTCCAAACACGATATTTCTGCTGTAAGTTTTCGAAGAGTATGTTCATCATCTGATAATACTGGTGCCAGCATGAAGTCAAGGTTAACAGATAACTAATTACTTTTATTTCGTCAAAATCTTTAGATTACGTATAATAAATTCATAATATCGCTACCTATTCAAATCAAAACAAGTATTAGGTACTTCATGTACTAGTATATAAATTCATCAACACACAAGTAAATGATTTTTAAATATATTCAGAGCCAAAAAATCTTTGTGCATTTAAAAAATTTTGCCGATATGGATTCACTATTGCAGGAAATTGTTGAAAAAATATATATCGCGTATAGGTATCTACTACTATCGACGAATACATTTGGCAACAACGCGCAACATATGCGATGTTGGCCGTTCCGGCCGAGACCATGCCGGAACGGCAACATCGCATATTAGAATACAAAGATAGTGATAGAAAGAGAGAGACAGTGGAATCAGCAATATCTACGGATCGTGGCTGGATCAACTAAGTGTGCAAGTTTATATAAATGTATATATATATATATACATTTGTCTTTAATTCAAAGGAAATATAAATAATGAACGCATCACATTTAAAACAGTATAAATAGTTAATAATTTAATAATAAGTTAATAGTTTAATAAGTACGTACGTAATATTATCACATGGTAACAGCACGTATTATGGCAAAAATAAACATCGGCTGATTTGAAAAGATTTATTATAGTAATAATAGTAATCTCAGGACAATTCACACAGCTTCATCTAGACCCAAGTTAAGCTAGCTGAAGATTATGTTATGGGTACTAGACAACTGATATAAATACAAAGATTTTTTTCGTAAATACATATATATTATCTATACATAGAAAACACCCAGACCGTTACAAACAATCATACTCATGAATACAAATGTTTGCAGCGTGCGAGGAATCGAACCCTCGACCACCAAGCAGGAATCAAAGCAGTGTGCTAGCTAAATCGCTAGACTACCGACAACTAGCTGTACCGCGTGGAATTTAACTTCTTATATTTTAGAAAAATAAAGTTAAATTCCACACGGACGAAATCCCGTGTACAGCTAGTCATCAATAAAAAAACACATAGGTATCTCTAATATATTATACAGTAGCTGTTCCCGCGACTTCGTCCACGTGGTTTTTAACTTTATTTTTCTAAAATAAAAGTAGCCTAAGTTACTAGGTAGTAGCCTTATTACATCAGCTACCTAAAAACGGTTATTTCAATATTACAAACAGACACTCCAATTTTATTTACATGTATAGATGTATAGATTAAAAAAAAAGTAACAGTCATAAGGCTAGTCGTATGCCTAATATATATAATAATGTAATAAATTCATTTAAACAGAAATTGCGGCAACATTATTTAAATTTGTAACTTTTTTACTGTCCTTCTCCATTTTTCACATCTTTCTGTTATATCCCTATAGTTCTCTCTATATTTTCTGTTTTTCTTACTTTCAATTTGAGACTGTACTTATAATTTGATTATCAGATCATTATGTATTTATTAGATATTAACTATTATATTATGCATAAAAAATATTTGTAATAATAAAGAAAATACATTTAAAATGTTTTACTTGTTGTGTTAGTTATTTATAAGATCTTACTATAATTGTTAGCTGCTTTACAATTTAGAAAGTACAATAGGTAATGTAAATTAAAATTAATTGAATACTTAACAACGTTTTGTTCGATTAAATTCATTTAATTATTAAAATAGTTAATTTAAAATTAGAATAAAGACAAAAAAAAAAATAACAAAAAAAAATCGGTGGCGGGAATCGAACCTTGAGCGTCCGTTTGGTAAGTTGATTCAAAGGCTTATTAAAATCAAAATCAAAGGCTTATTTCTTCGAAATTACTGGTCATTTTGACATAATACTTAGGGTTCGCATACCCTTATCGGATACTACTACTACACGGAGTTTCGTCAAAATAGAATATCTAGGTTAGGTATAATAAATTCATAATTAATAGACCGTTACGGTATCTGTATATATTCGGATCAAAACAAGTACTATGAAATAAGAACGAGTATATAAATTGATTAACACAAGTAATTGATTTATGAAATATATTCAGAGCCAAAAAGTCGTCTTTCTTTATTTATGTACTTGTTAGATGCGACAGCGACTTTGTTTTATACTATACTATACTATACTATACTATGTAATGATTGATATACCTAAAATAAATAAAATATCTGAGGTTTGGACAAAAACTCAAAGGGTAATTTATTTTGAAAAAGTATTTTGAATTTGCTTTTAGTGTTATAGTACTTTAACTGTTATATTTTAAGTAACAATGTTTAATTATAATTAATACTACTGCACCAACACCCCGATCGTGCAAAAAAAATTGCTGTTTCATTATTTTTTAGTTCAATTAGTGGTCTACCTAAGTCCTGGGCTAAGGGGGAGGAGAGTCATGACGCCCCCATGACTCCCATGACCTCCATGACGCTCCCCCCTGGATCCGCCGTTGCGTCTTCTCTTTATTCGCTCAGTAACGTTGTTACAAAAGAAAAGATTCCCGTCCAAAAAATAACAAGTATTGAGGTTTGATCTGGAGTCACGTTACTCCAGACTGATTTCTATAAATATTTAGATTAGATAGACTATTATTCTTGAAATACTAGCTAGACATTATTAAGTTACTGTAGCCATAATGTAGTAGCCCAAACGTGCCAATGAGGAAGCCCTTGGCAAATGCTGCACCCTGATTGGCCCGTTTGAATTGGATCAAGAAGTGGTCGTATGCCAAAAAGGTGGATTTGTATAAAATCGTGTATAAATCGCTTAATTATTATTATTACTCGTCGTGACAGTTGTGGCTCAAAAAGGATCAACATTTATATATCGTCAGCTGGCATTAGATCAACAAAAGGCCTCCGGATCAACAAGTGAAAAAGGATCAACAAAAAACTACCTATACGGCACGTCTGAGCCACAAAGTGCCCAAGGGGATATTTATATATATATATATATATATATATATTATCAGGCGTGACCTATACTTGATTAATTAATCAAGATAAGTTAATCTCATATAATAAGTCGAACTTACCATGTCAGTGTCGGAATGTACTATTATTTCGTATTCAACGACTTCTTTTGTATGAAGTTCTTTAATCATTATGGATGTGTGTTCTCCTGTTATGGTTATCATCACATCTGTTGTGTAAGATTCCACTGTAAACTGTTACGGGATTGTAAAATAATTTGATATAAAAATATGTACTTCATATTTTATTGGCCATGTAATAATAATAGCGTCTAACATACAAAACTATTTTGGATAAAAATAATCTAAAAGATCACCCAACGAATGGTATTATTTTACTGATAGGTATAGTAGCCCCTGGACTTCATCCCGAGGCAACAACACAATCCTTTTAGGGGTAAGATCCGTAGTCCGATCATATAATATTATATAAGGAAAAGATTTGAAGGTGGAGAGAATCACAGAACCGCTTTTCAGCTTTCACTGTTCTGTGAGATAAATTTATAAAATAGGTATATAACAGATTTTTGTAATTCTTTGTAGTGTTTATGGGGTATGTCAAAATTCTGTAGGAAAACTTTAAGTAAATTTGTTTTTCTCGATTAGCTTTTTTTGGAAATGTATCCATTGCAGATTCTTAAGGATTTCAGTTATGAAATTCGAAGTGATCACTTTATTGATATACTTATATACCTCGCTATATTTATACCCTCAGCACGTGAATACATCGACATAACAAATAAATTATTAATCACGTTAATCGAGTCTTAATACGAATGTTCGATTTGGGTGAACTAGCCGTGGTCGTTGACTGGAGTACATGGATGTCAATGTCGGTAGTCGACAGCAGTTTTTTCAACTACCGTCACTAAATTGTGAACTTAGAATACTATTATTTACCATAAAATTAATCATATTATTAACTGTTTGTCTTATTACCGGACAGATTACACAGACACACCACTGTTCTCACTCGCCGGTTACTGCGTAATGACCACAAGACGTCAGCAGTGTGCGCTAGAGATAACATAATGCTTTCCTCTCTTTGTCACATACACTAAAGTCTTCAAACCCGATAAATTATATTATTAATGTATATCAAATTCAAAAAATAAAATTTTTCACAAAGTCGTCGATATTGTAGATCAGACTATTTTTCAGTAGTGGTAGGTAATCATAAAACACATATTCACACTCGATGATTGCATTAGTACAGTAGGCTTATTATACTAATGGCATTACTACGATATTATTCATAATAAATAAATGATATTTTTATATATATTTTTAAACTTACCGTGGGAGGCTCCGCGAAATTGGATGGTAGAAGTGATACGACATTATTCCATTCTATTGGTACTATCTCTTTCATATATTTAAAAGACTAAAATAGAAAAAAAAAGAATTCCTATTATTACCAATACTAAAAATGTGAAAGTGAATTTGTTTATTTATTACTTTGATAACTTTGTACATTAAATGGATAACGACATTGAGTATTTTTATTTTAATATTTCAGATATAATCCCGAGTAAATAGTAGTAGTTAATGTATAATGGAAATACTGATATTTTAATTGCGAACCAATAGCAAATAACTCAAAAGACGGGGTACAATTTAAACTTTCCGCCATATTAAATTCAATTAAAACTTTTGTTATAAATTAAGTTTAATCAAGTTATACTCTGACTACATATAAATTTAATTATTAACGTAGAAAAACTAGTGAATCAGTTTTCATTTTTCCCGCGCAAATCGAAAATGGGCACAGACTATATAAATTCAAGAGGCGAACCACTTCATCATTTCTGTATGTTCTTTTGGATCAGTATTAAAAATCATAAAAAAATCTATGGCCTCCATATTTATTTTATTGCACTGTTACAATGCCAAATGTTAAACTCGTCTTTTGTAGATAGTTGTTTGTGTGAACATATGGTTCGAGAAATCGTACAAAAGCACATTTAGCATATGTTAAAAGCAAAAGCATGCTTTGGATAATATTAACTTATGTTAACCGTTAACGCACTAGAGCTAAACGCTAAATAAGACAAGTTTAGACATTTCCTTTGAAGATTTTTTTGTAGAAAGAATTTTATTTATTATGAAAATTTTACCTCTCTAAATTTCCATGGCTGTAATTGTAATATGACTCCTGAACAAAACTCGGTGATACTTTTATACGTTTCCAGACTAGTATCATTTGAATGACAAAATCCACTAAGAAATATTACAACCTGGAATGAATATATATTATTATGACATCTGTATATGTCCTTAATAACGATAAATACAAAGTTCAACATTACTTTGTAATGCAACATGTATTTAATTATTAATAAACAGTTAACAATAATTAACTCATATCTCGTATGCCTATGTACTTACATTCAGTAGGTATTAAATGCTTTATATACCAATTTACACAGAAAGATAGAAAAAAAAAGAAAGAGCTATGAAGCTCTTCTTTCTTAACAACTTTCAACCAGTTACAAACGTGATAGTTAACCAATGTCGAAATTGATATAAAATACTTGCGGAAAGTATTTTATATTAATATATTATAATATGCATACCTCGACTTAATAGGCGTACACAACGCATAATTTGAAATAAAATGATAGTAATAAAAATAATCACATTAAGGGAAATACGACCCGAAGTATAATTAATCACTGTCGTAATTTAGGCCAGCTGTTCCCGCAAACGCTGTTTAGCCATATAAATTAAAATTGCTATTAAAAATAGGGTTGTATTATTTTTTAATGCTACATAATAAAATAAAAAAAAAAATTGTCCAAAAAATAAAAAATAAATGTTACAGGTAGGTAACCCTTATCACTTTGAACAATAGATAGTAGCCCATTCTCAGACCTACTGAATATGCATATAAAAATTCATAAAATTCGGTCAAGCCGTCATCAAGTTTCGGAGGAGTATGGTAGCTAACATTTACAACAACTAACAACACGAGAATTTTATATATAAGATATATCATATATAAGGGAATAGTAATTGGCAGCAAGCTATTGCTATTGGATTGATAATGCCAAGCATACCTTACTCCGTTTAGTTCTGCAAAGGTACGTTATAGCATCAATATCGTCGTAGTTCTTTGCGAATGCATCGGTAAACACAAATATGTGTGATTCCTTTTTACTGACTTCAAGAGCTTTGCGTATACCAGCCAAGGGGTTTTCTGGGCAGTCTGTTCCACCACTTGTAGTTATCCCATATATAGATCTTAGAAACGCATCTGGTGAATCAGATATGACGGGAACGCCGACATCTAAAAATACAGATAGAGAATTGAGGTAACAGATTATTAACGAAATAACAGATTGATTTTACAGAGGTACACTTTTGTAAAAAGTTGTCTGTATTGTTTTTTTTCTTTGGTGCCTCATTTACACTCGTAATACGTGTCAGAACATGGGTGTAGATCACGATACCCGTCGAAGTTTGCTTACTAGTGGGGAAGGTCGAAAGCTTTCGGTAGTAATGGTCAGGTTTCCGCACTGAATTTCGGTAGTCTTACACATGTTAGTAAAGGAATACTAGTGAGGAAGGATGTAATACTTTCACTAGAATTGGTCAGGTTTCTCTCTGAATTTTGGTGGTCTCACACATGCTAGTAACAGAATTAAATAAAATAATACAAATACATTCAGTAATAAAAGTCGGCTCCGTTGGTATCTATATCTTTTACTGTTCAGCTAGCGTCCATCTTGTTTTGTAAATTATATTATGGTTCATGGGTGAGATAAAGTACTAATATAATAGTATGTGGCGGAATGATGTCTCAGTCCTCCAGAATGGTAACGCATGTGTGGTATCACGGGGGTCACATGATAACGTGATATCCATGGTCCTGTTCAAGTATATAGACGATGCTTATTTACCATTCCAGTTATAGAAGTACCGGATACCAAAAGAAAATGATCGCTGTCTAAATGTACATATAGTTTTGGAGATAAAGAGGAACTTTATCAACCTAACAGAGCCCAAGACAATGATTGTTAGTTTTTTGTATACTACCACAGATAACATAATATTACATAATACTACTAAGTATGATATTATATAATTGATAATCAACTACTTTAATTTTGATATTCGTTTTATTCAAATCGGTTTGGAAACAAAAATGTTATACAGGTACGAAGTGTCTGAGATAGTATTTACTAAATTATTTAACTTACCTGGATCATTAAAAGGCACTATTACATAATTTTCAATGTCAGAGACACCTTGAATAGCGTTTACAACTCTCGGAATATTTGCTTTTAAAATATTAAGTTCTATTTCCATTGAATCTGTGGTGTCAATGACTATAGTAAAACTTTTGCTATAAACTAACGTTAATAACGAATAGATTACTATTAATTTGGAATACATTATGATAATTTCAAATGTAGTACTCAGTCTAAGAAAGTTCAATGAATACTGAACTGTTATTGTGAAGTATATAGAATACTTTGTAGTATTTAAGGGTATGATTGCATTATTGAATTGCGAGAACCCTAAAAGAGAGGTTATGGTTCTAGTAATCTATATACGAGTCTTTAAGTACAATTTTTTTAATGGATGATAATGAAATGATTTACTCAAGGAACTGTCCCACCGGTATACTAGTGGAGGATGTTCAGATAAGCATGAGGTCAGGTCAGTCAGCCCATCGTGATAAATTCACCAGTAGTTTGTCAAGATGGTTTCCTCGTGAAACCTAAGAATTCTAATCAGCGTGGAGTCTCACCTGACTAGTCTGCTTCCAGTGACCCCACTGGAAGACCATGTTACTAACAATCACCTTCTAAGTAAAAACTGATAGTCCATTCTAAGTATTTACAAATTATTATTGTCCAACGCATCAGGACCGATCGTCGTGGAGATCTTTGGGGGAAGGCCTTTGTTCAGCAGTGGATATCTTCCGGGCTAAGATGATGATGATTGTCCAACATGTCTAACAGGGTTTAATTTAGTACAAGATACCACGATATCTATGTAGATACTATAAAGAATATTCATCTTTAAAGTATTTTGTTCTAACACAATTACTTAATCGTGGTATCTTGTACTAAATTAAACCCTGTTAGACATGGTGTGATGGTGTGATATTCAATTGGTTCAGTAATATATTCTGGTTGCATTGAACAAAAGAAACGGTAACGGTAATAATAATTGTAATGTTTTTAATTTGTGTTAAGTAAAATTAGGTATAATATTATTAATTTATAAAAGAGACACCTCAAAATTAGTGCTACGGCCGTGCTAGTGTCAGTGCCGATAATTCGGCAAGCCATATATCATGTATGAAAAAAACAGTATAATTTTTATATAAAACAAAAATCATGTTTTAATTCATCTGAAAAACAAAATTTTTAAATAAAATCCTTAGAGACATAGAAGGATCCTTCATCGAGTAAGATTATAGCCTCTTAATAAACAATTTGATAACATTGCAACCCCAATACGAAGACGTGTGGTAATTTGTTATAGCATTCTCCTTGTAGTTATCGCAACAAAGTTACTAAATTATGTGTATCATAATTGATGACCTATTATTTATATTATATGTTTATAAATAGTTAATATTATTTATAATTATAGGTTGACATAATGTCTAATCATAAAACCATTCTAATTACGGCTTTATTTGTTTTGTATTTATAATTATTGTAATAGATAAATCGATCGTAACCACTAGTATCGACTAACAACTACATAGTTTTATAAGCAATATACCAATAATTATAAATATGAATTATTTTAAGTAACAGCTGTAAAAATCTAATAAATATCTATAACTATCTATATAATGTATATCTATAACTATCTATATAATGTATATCTATAATATATTTATAGCTAGGCACCATCACCACAACTTTCAAATTTTAGATCAAGACATTAATCCATGATCATTTCTATAACAATAAGAAAACAGGTGATTTTTAGTAATGGAACTCCATTATTACACACCTGTTTTCTTATTGTGACTATATAATAATATATTCTGTTTATTTATTAACTTAATAACGAATATTATGGTCCTTAAGTAATTTTTGAACCAGCGGAAATGACCCATAGGAAATTACTAAATCGAGATAGCAAAGTAGAAAACAAAGTCTCTATTGTGCGAAATTCGTAATTATGCCTATAAATTGTAATATCTGAATATACATTGGTATACTTGCCGTTGCTTCAAAAGTAGACGCTATTGCCATAAGAATTAAAACACTATTCACTTATTTTCGTACGTGCAATAATGTAGCATTTACCACGAATATAATATAAAAAAATATTGCCATTACAGCGAGTTTTAAAATGGAACATCTTCCAGTGGCTGAAAGCAAAACTATGCTTAGAAACCTGAAAAACATGATTATTCCATACGGATATTCCTTTTAATATAATTGTAAACAACTTTCAGTCTATCTGTATATGGTACCTAGTCTATGGTAACCTATACTAAAACACATAAAAAGCACCACAAACAATTGTTCGCCATGTGATAACTGTACACCTCAAGCGTTGCCATTTCTTAGGACTAAGCTATCATGACTCCGTATCTCCTATCATATCATCATAATATCACTATCATAATTTATCTTCCAACTGGAATTAAGCTTACAAATCAAGCCACTTGACTATAGAAACTCATAATCATAATCTTTTTTCAAGTAAACATGTTCAGCTCACTTTTAAATAATAAGAGCTGAGTTTCTTGTCAGTTCTTCTTGGCTCGAAAGTGCTCCGAACTGACGATAGGTACATATCCTAAGAGTCTGTAATAGACCTACATAAACAAAGATATTTTCATCTTCACTTTAATATCGAGTAAATATTCAATATATTCCTTAGAAGTATAAAAAAGTATGTCTAACAGCTATATATATTACAATCTTAGATTAAAGTAAAGTAGTGTTGAAGAAATAAAAAGACAGACCGATGCGTTTTTGCATTCCGATTGTACTAACTATAGCAGACTTTTTGCTTTTGCAATAACATATGCTGGTGGTCTCTCTATTCTCCCAATATTTAATTTAAAAATGAATCTGTATTATAAACATGCACAACATTTATTTAAAAAGAATACGAGCTGGGTTTCTTGTCAGTTGTTCTCATCTCGAAATCATTCTGAAATAACGATAGCTTTGACATATCATAAGATTCTGTAATAGATATATACTATATATATATAAAGATATTTTTAACTTGAATTTGATACTAAGAAATGTGATGGCACTAATATACAGTTATGAGAATGCAGACGTAGTTATAAACAATATAGGGGAAATCCGATAGCCACATTCTAAATATATATATATTACATGCTTATCTACGGGTCAAATGATAGTGTCAACATGTTATTGGAATATTACTAAAATTGGAATTTCGAGAAATGTCCCAAAAATATGTTACCAGATTTTGTTTAAGTTATAGACACTGTTCATCAGCGCAAATTTCGTCGCCTATTTACAAAGCGCGCCCCCCCCCCCCCATTCCCCCCCCCCTCCCAGTTTATTTTTGAGATATGTAATATAATGTCTGTATTTGTATTAAGATGTATCTTCATATCAAATTTCATTATGATATATTCAGCACCACCACCAATTACTATTGTGTGCACCCCAATAGCAAACAAGCCGACCTAATAGTAAGTAACCGTTACCTATATACATGAATAGTACGGTCATCACGTTTACATGTGATGTCCGTGATATAACTCGTATGTTGCCATTCGGGAGAACTAAAATATTATACCTCCATGTTTTATAACTGCAGTGCCTTAACTCCACTATTTAAGTGAAACACAGCTATTAAGTTGTGTCCCAGTGGTAAGCTTTGTAAAGCAAGCTGCTTGTAAGCTAAATTAATACTGAGGTATTTACGGAGATTACTTTTTTAAGGTATACGTGTATTTTTTAAAGTTTTAGGTACAGTGTTTAAATATTTTGTCTTCGTTACTTGATATGGATGATGTGTTACTGACATTGCCGCTTATTTGAAGATTAATGGGACTATAGAAGGGAATGGATTTCCCTACTCCATGCTTATCAAAAAATAATTCTACATTATTTATATTATTAAAAATAAAATTATATTATTTAAAAAAATATATACATTTTATATATGTCTGTCTATATTAAATTAGTATGTATTTAACTTTTGTTCACCAACGTCTCCAAGATTGGCCAATTTATATTTACTGATATTATTCTAACATGTCAATATTAATAATTCGCTACAACAGAACAGTATTTTTGTGCAACATTATAATATTGTTATGTTTGTTTATTTTTATATTATTATTATTAACGGCCCAGATTATATATATTGTATAATACTTAATTAAATATTCCGGGAATGTATTAAATTATCCATTATTTCTATATTCCTGTTACATTAACGTACATATATGTACACTACACTTATATACAAGTACAATAGAATTTTGTGTCTTGACAGAACGCCAAAACATTTAGTAACAAATACAAGTTCATAATGATATTCAAAACTAGAAAATATTCTTTATTATTTTTTATATTTCTTTTAAATATTTTAACTATACAAGGGCAAAGTGGTAAAAGTAGTGTAACGTTTATAATTGATGATACGGGATCGATGTCTGATGATATAGAACAAGTGAAGTTAGAAGTACATAGAGTGTTTGATACTGTAGTAAAGTCGGCAGAATCACACGTAGAAAATTTCATTCTCATAACATTCAATGATCCGGGTAAGTACCTAATAAAAGTATTTTCATACGAAACCGCAGAACGATTATTTATAAACGAATATGTATGTTTGGACTAATACTAACATTATGTCAGGGATAACAAGATGATAAGAATGGTAAAAAGGAAGACATTGGTATAACGAAGAAATATTAATTGAAGTGTAAATAGCAGTAGAACTAAATACATATTTTATAGAATAAAGTAATAAAATATCCGATAATTGCTTCAAATAAAAATAATAAACATAGTTCGATAACTAAAACAACAATGGACTTGTTATAAAATTATTAGACTTCATCAGATCTAGAATTAGTGGATGTCTAGAGTGAGATATCAGTCACTCCGATGAAGGTCACTCTAGATAAATTAAATTGTACAATAAAAACTGATAATATGTTAAACGTCTATATGTTAAAAATAAGCTAAATAAATTACAACGGCAATGATCAATCATTTTCAAGAGTACTTCTTGGAAGTCAAGAAATAGATTAATTTTACTTTTTTTTTAATCTTCAATCAAATTAGAGAAATGTTATATTAAGTTTAACGTGTTTATCTGTGTACCTTTGTGGAAACTGTAAGTTATGATGGTTTTCAGGTATAATTCATGATGACTTGTTCATACTATTGAAGATCATCTAATTATTTACTAGTAGAAGAAGAAATTTCACCTTTTTATCAACTGTTGTTCTTATTTTTAATCTAATTTTACTTGTTTCAGATACATCATTGTTAATTGACACAAAAGATGAAACCGTTTTCAAAAGTCATTTAAATTCTATTCCTGTAGGTGGAGGTGGAGATTGTCCAGAATATTCTATGACAGGAATTGAATTGGGGCTTAAAACAAGTTTGCCTGGCTCTTATTTTTACGTTTTCACAGACGCTGCTGCGAAAGACTTTAATAAGTTAGAACGAATTAAGAGTTTAGCTATAAGCAAACAAACGCAGGTAATTATGGGCAATATATAATTTAGATTGATGTGAATAAGTGACAAGTTAATAATGAGCACCCACAACTAAATAGTTGTCGTAACTCTATAAGTAGGTACCTATTATGTACTACAATATAGTCTCTCTGTTTTTTTTTATAACAACATAAAATAAAGTTATGGTAAAAAAAACGCAGTCTTGATTTTTAACATTTTTATCTTATACATACATAAAATTCTCGTGTTAGTTACCATAATCCTCCGAAACGGCTTGACTTTATATGTACAGTACATTCTATCTATTCTTCACACCCCTTAGTGATAAGGGTCCTCCGCCCCTAACAATTTCTTTTTAATTATAAATTTAAATAATAATAAATTTATTTGTAAGTATAATTAGTTAATCACGGGACCACGTTTTATTTCTGTTGAGTTCCCCGTGATTTACTAATTATACTTATAAATAATGACCGCGTCAACTTAAAACAGTATAAAGTTATTTGGCGTTAAATAATACATACAACGCAAAATTTTTATACTAACACCTACATATTTTTAATAGCGATTTTAATTTACATGGCTAAACAACGTTTGCGGGGTCAGCCAGTGGATATACCTATATTTTACTTATTCATAGTGAGAATCTTTGTATAATGTTTGTAAATTGTTGTAATAATGTATAACCTTAAACAACATTATAAATGTTTGAACATTTATAATGTTGCTTAACGTTTATTCAATTTACTTTTATAAGTATTAGAATAGAATAGGATAGAAAATCGTTTATTCAAATAAACTTACATTGAAGCACTTTTGAATAGTCATTACATTTTTTTAATCTACCGCTCGTTCGGAAAGCTGTCTCATCACAAGAAAAACGAGCAAGAAACTTGCGTGTTGCTCTTTTAAATAATTTTACTATTACTTTACATTTTTAAGTTTAAGTATGTGAATACAAACCACCAATTAGCACTAATTCAATTAAATACTCAAATAGAAAAAATATTGAATATATAACCAACTGGTTAAACAATTAATAAGAGGAAATCAGTCATAGTGATTAGAGCAGACCAGTCCCTACAAGCAGCACCCGTTCACAAGTATGACGGATGAGCCAGCCATCACTGCGGTCGACCATATTTTAGGGAGCCCAATGACCCGGCCCACCACGCCGCCACAAGTCTGGACATTTTAGTGACCATGACTACTCAAAACACTAGACCACGTCAAAGCTACTTACAATTGCCATCTGATAGTTATAGTGTTCACATTTTACATAAGCATGCATGCGGCAATCAATACAAAAACCGCTACGCTTTCATATGTTGTTTCCTGTTATTCATTTACAGGTTGTATTTCTATTAACTGAAGGATGTGATAATAATTACGATGATCCCAAATATAAAGTATACGACGTACTTGCTACTGCCACATCGGGAAGAGTATTTCACATGAGAAAAACAGAAATTGGAGAGGTAAAATGAACTGATTAAATATTATCTATTATTAAATAGAAGTAAAAATATTATATTTCTTTAAAAAGACATACCCACAAAGGATTCATTGTTATGTACCTATATAATATGAATTTTTCTTGAAGTGATAAGTAATTGGTAATTAATGAGTATTTAAAATATATTTGAATTAATTTACTTTCACAGTTTCATTTATATATTAATATATAATATTTTAATCATCCCCAAATTGTATTAGTTAATAATGTCAATAATAAAAATTAATACATTGTATGACCATCTATTTGCTCTATAGTTAGGTATGTCATATAGCAATAAATAAATAATCTGTATGTAGAAAAAAATTATTTAACTTTTCTTTTATTATAATTATTTTGCACACCTTACAGATTATGAAATATATAGCAGATACAGTTGAGAGCAGAAAAACAAAAATTGTTGATAAAAAATTTAAACCTGGATATGGTCATACGTTTGAGGTAAGAAAATTGTTATAATTAAATAATGTGTTCGTCTGTATCATGACGCTGTATCATTATTACCATTCGGTTTCCATGCTAATAATTTAGATAACAATGCAATTAGGATAACAATACATAAATAGTTACACGATTGGTGGTATTAGTTTGTTTTTGAATAATATCTTATATGTACCCAAAATCATTTACAAATATTATTATTATTATAATTGAAAACTAAAAAACTAAAGTTGCTAAATAACAACGAATATGGTGATAAAATTGGTAGCGGAATTAAACAAAACAACACAAATGTATTAAGTAATGAATGTGTGTTATATTTCCAAATTCCCGTTTGTTTCTTTTATCTATTTATTGTTCTTCTATTATATTTTATTGTATTTTTTTATAATTTGATGTTTTGTATTTTTTTTGTTTTGGATTTTGAATTGTATTGTATTACGATAACTTATTTTATATGTTATACTTGTATATGTCGCGTTTGTTGATTTATTACCGAATACATGTTCAGAGAACATATATTCGTAATAAATAATTCTTGTTTCTGTTTATAGTACGAGCTGGATCATAAAACTAATGGTTCGAGTATAATTATATCAGGTAAAGAACCTAAAGGAAAAGTAACGAACCCAGATGGAACAATTAACTCTGATCCTATTGTTAACGTATCCGAAGTAACGGTAAGTAAGCATTTTCAAAATCATCAAGTTTCTAACTTTGTTAATTTTATAAAAATCTGTCATAAAAATACATCTATAGACTATATTTTTGTTTATGTGTCAGTTTTTAGCGATCACCTTCTTATTATATTTCGTCGCTTCATTCTTCAGATATAATAACTAGGTAGTTTCCTTAACCTACAAGCAACGTGACGCACGGTTTAGAGAATGTATTTTTTTTTTTTTTTGTCTACCCTACGATACCTTCTTTATTCTCTGTAGCACTAACGTTCTTCATTCCTTTTTCGTGCGCGGCAACGGACGGACGTGTTCTTTTAGCTTAAAATATCATAATAATCATACGTACATTATCATTTTTACTTCGTTTATTGCAATATTTTAGTTAGTAATATTTGTAAATTAATATTATTTTTAATAAAAAATTTTTAATTAAAATATTATAAATATGCCGAAACGATCGGCTGAAGAGAAAATTAATTATTATAGTAAGAAAATACGGAAAATTCAAAAGAAGCAAAAACGTTTAATTGGTGCAAGTAGTTCATCAGAATCTCCTTCAGTACCAGAACAAAGTAAGTACATTATCAATATATAATTTTTACCCACAAAAATTTATAAAAATTAGATAACTGGGAGGTTGCCCGAGATGGTAACACGAAAGTGACTATGTCTAATTTTAATTATAAAAAATACTAGACGATCATTCGTTAATTAAATTAGGTGCCTGGAGGTTGCCCGCGATGGTAACACGAAGGTGATGATGCCTAATTCTAATATTAAAAAGCCTGGAGGTTATCCGCGATGATAACACAACGGCATATATACACTAAAGTACAACAATTTTATTTGTGTACTACACAATATAGAAATTATTCAACCAAGAGGTTGTCCGCGATGACAACACAATGGTTATTTTTCTTAGAAATAAATATTTATTTCTATAATAATACATAATTAATACTTGTCTGGTTTTAATGACAGATCCAGAGGATGAGTCATTCCCGATGGTTGAATCTCCCTGTGAGGAAGAACCAGAGCCAGTGGAAATATTTCCGTTGGTGGTGGAGCCGGATAAAGAATATCCTGCGGATTCGATCGTACCGCAACCATCCACCGTCATATCAACGGAAGCTGAACCGGAGAAATCCTCGGAAGCAATACAAGCCAATTGCTCTATACAGGAGGTTGATCCAGATATTTTAATAGCCTTAGGGGAGATTACTAATGACTCCCCGGATTACGGGGAAAAAATACACGATTGTTTAGCAAAAATTTGGACACCTTTATTAAAAAAGGGGTTAAGTAAAGATGTTCGCGAGAAATTAATTAAAGATTACCTTATTCCTGAAAATTGTCCCCTTTTAAAAGCGCCAACATTAAATCCGGAAATTTTAGCCGCTTTACCCGAAACTGGTAGGTTCCGGGATAAGAAAATTTTGGCATCCCAACAACAATTAGGAGTTGGTATCACAGCCATAAATAGAGGACTCAATATATTGTTGTCCGAAACCAGTAATAAGGTTGACGCAATTAAATTCATTAGCGATGGTTGTCGTGTCTTGTCCGATCTTCATTTTCAAAATACAGAGAGTAGAATAAAATTTATATCTCCTGGTCTGGACAAGTCATTTTTACAATTAATACAAGCCTCAGAGAGAGATGATTTACTATTTGGCAGTAAATTATCTGAGAAAATTAAGGCGTCCAAAGCAATTGCTAAACAAAGTCAACATATAAAGAAGGCCCCAAACGCCCCAAAAGCCCCACCACTGCAAACACAAATACCATCAACTCGGCCTAATAACCAGGGAAACTGGCAGGGCCCTCCTCGTTACTCGTCGAACAGGGGGGGGCGCGGAGGACTACGGCGGACAAGTCAACGGCCACCAGTTCAACCCGGAGGTCCTCAATTGAAACCACTGCCATCCAAGACTCGCGGAGTACCTCGCCGAGTATAAATCAGGTACATGCCGGTAGGCTAAAATTTTATTATAGTCAATGGCGTAAAATAACTTCTAATAGTTTAGTCCTTAAATGGATAAGCGAAGGCATAGATATTCCCTTCGAGAAAACTGTTACTCAATTAAATGCACCCATTTCGTCTTGGCCAGATTCAGAAAAACAAGATATGAAATTAGCTATAGATAATCTCACAAGTTTAGGTGCCGTGTCAATATGTCACTCTTCAGATGACCAATTTTTATCTAAAATATTTTTAGCTCCAAAGCCTAATGGGGGAAAAAGATTTATTTTAAACCTTAAGTCCTTAAACAAATATGTAGTCAAGTCACACTTTAAAATGGAGGACTACAGGACAGCTTCTAAGTTAATATCGAAAGATTGTTATCTAGCGACTATAGATCTTAAGGAAGCGTATTTATTGGTTCCGGTAAATATCCAATTTCGTAAATTTTTACGTTTCCAATTTGAAGGGATTGATTCACAGATAATCATCTATGAATTTAATGCCATGCCATATGGCCTCTCAATAGCACCTAGGATATTTACAAAAATTATGAGGGAGGTAGTTAAATTTTTACGAAACCTCGGTCATCAATCTGTGATATACCTCGATGATTGTCTTTGTATAGGGTCTGACTATGATGAGTGTAAAAATAATGTCAAAAACACACTAGATTTGCTATCTAGCCTTGGTTTCGTTATTAACTTTGAAAAAAGCTCATTAGTACCTAGAAAACAATGCAGATTTTTAGGATTTTTATTTGATTCAGTATACTTAACAATTTCATTACCAGATGAAAAACGTATCAAAATAACACAATTATTATTAAAATATTATTCAGTAGTTACATGTACCATTAGGGAATTTTCTCAACTCATTGGCGTCCTTGTAGCAGCTTGTCCAGCCGTTAAATACGGCTGGGTATATACAAAACAATTAGAAAGACAGAAATATCTCATGTTGTTAAAAAATAATGATTATGACTCAGTCATTAATTTTCCTATAAATGTGTATGATGATCTCAATTGGTGGAAAGAAAATATACAACATACATTTAATGATATAAAAGCACCTAGCTATGCTTTAGAAATTTTTACAGACGCCTCTAAAACAGGTTGGGGAGCGTATTGTAACCAAACGCGAGTACATGGGACTTGGAAAAAGGACGAATTACAATGTCACATTAATTACTTAGAACTGCTAGCGGTTTATTTTGCACTAAAAACTATAGCCAAGGAAAACATTAATTGTACTATTTTGCTACGAATTGACAACACTACCGCATTGAGTTACGTTAACCGAATGGGGGTATACAATATCCCCACCTTAACGATTTGTCGAGGCAAATATGGCAATGGTGCGAGAAGCGAAATATTATGTTATATGGTTCTTACATTAATACTAAGGAAAACAAAGAAGCTGACTTCGAATCAAGGAGAGTAAATTCTGATACCGAATGGGGTCTATCGATAGAAACCTTTCAAACAATAACCAGTTATTTTGGCCAACCAGAAATAGATCTATTCGCTTCTCGTACTAACGCCAAATGCGATGTTTATATTTCGTGGTTCCCAGACCCAGATGCGTTGTGTGTCGATGCATTCACAATTTCCTGGAAAGACAAATTCTTTTATGCATTTCCACCTTTTTGTTTAATATTAAGGTGTCTACATAAAATTATTAATGATAAGGGGCATGGTATCTTAGTCTTTCCTAACTGGCCTGCACAGCCGTGGTTCCCACTATTAAAAAGCCTTTTAGTCTCCAAAATTATTTACTTTACACCTAAAGATAATTTTCTAAAATCCGATTCCAGGAATCAAACCCCACATCGCCTACACAAACAGCTTACGCTGGGTGCAGCGACTCTCTCAGGATGGCGTTCCTGACTCGGGATATTCCTTCCGACGCAATAGATCTAATGTTGGCATCGCTGTCTGACAACACAAAGAAACAGTATAGTGTAAGTTACAAACTTTGGTGGCAATTCTGTCAGGTCAATAATATAAATTACTTTCATGCTTCAGTTAAAAACACATTAACTTTTTTAACTCGTGAGTTTAAAAAAGGAGCTAGTTATTGCACACTCAACACACATAGATCGGCTCTCTCATTATTATTATCAAATAATACCGGATCAGACGAATCTATAAAACGTCTTCTTAAAGGAGCATATAAGCTTAAACCCAGTAAGCCCAAGTATTCTCACACCTGGAACCCACAGATTGTGCTAGACTATATATCAGTATGGTACCCACATACTGATATTGATTTATGTAATTTTACAAAAAAATTAGTTACACTATTGGCTTTATGTACAGGACAGAGAGTTCAGACATTATCATTAATAAGCTTAGATAACATTCAAACTCTACATAATGGTGTTAGAATAAATATAACGGATATTATAAAAACGTCGGCCCCAGGCCGAGAACAGCCAATATTATTCTTACCATTTTTTAAAGAGAATTTAAAAATTTGTCCAGCCACAGCGGTCTTAGATTACGTAGCGTATACTAAAAATCTACGACGTTGTAATGATCAACGTCTAATATTAACGACCAAAAGACCTTATAGAGCTGCCACCTCGCAAACTATTAGTAGATGGATAAAGTCAGTGTTGTCAGATAGTGGGGTTGATGTATCTCTATTTACTGCACACAGTACGCGTCATGCGTCCACATCCACGGCCAGTGCAGCCGGTGTAAACATCGACACGATACGCAGGGCCGCGGGATGGACAAACACACATACATTTGTTAAATTTTATAAATTAGATATTATGAACACAAATGATGGCCAGTTTGCTAGATCGGTTTGTAATCAGTTATGATCATTTATCTCACTAATAACTATTAGAAATAATATAATTATGTTTATTTAAAATATTCGGATACAATATTATTATATATACATAATAATGTACCTTGTGTCTATAATGATTAATAATTAAAAAATCACGAGGTAAATTGTTTGTGTTTTTTTTTTATTTCCATCTCACTCAATATTCTTATTTATTCTTGCAAAAATATTATTCTCTGAAAATCTACCTAGTTATTATATCTGAAGAATGAAGCGACGAAATATAATATAAGATCAAACGAACTTCTAGAAGTGAAGTTCGATCATTATTATATGAGTCGCTTCATTCGAAGATATAAAGGCCCTCCTCTCCCAACCCTTTTTTTGCAAGATTAAGGAAATAGTAATAAGATCTCTAAACGGAATGAAGAACGTTAGTGCTACAGAGAATAAAGAAGGTATCGTAGGGTAGACAAAAAAAAAAAAAAATACATTCTCTAAACCGTGCGTCACGTTGCTTGTAGGTTAAGGAAACTACCTAGTTATTATATCTTCGAATGAAGCGACTCATATAATAATGATCGAACTTCACTTCTAGAAGTTCGTTTGATCTTATATTATTCTTATTGAATATTTATCTAACTATATTGTTTTAGATATTTAAAACGCCCTCCATGCCTGGCAAGTACATCGCTGAAGTTGGTAGTAAGTCAGAAACAAGCGTCGTAGTTATGGCCGCCTCTAAAATTAACTTTCAACATGGTTTCTCTGTGTTTCAACCGACTTCACTTGTTGCTACCACTATTAAACCTATAGCAGGTAAAATGAATTATGAAATACCGAGGTAGGACATCATAGAAATTTTAATCACCTAAAAGCTTGTTTTGTAAGCTGTTTTCAAGGTGCGGATGCGTAATACTTCAATGGCAATGCAGAGAAAATTTTAAGGGTATCACATAACCATCCTGTTACCATCTTACTGTTCACTGTTCATGTCTATACGGACAGTCGCAACGGACTGTTGACGGTTGGGCAGTAATGCTAATAATATACTTTAAACTTGTTCATGTTTGTTTGTTTCATAAACGAGAAATATTGTCCACATTTTCAGTCATATTTTAATATTAGGTAATCGGGTCTTAACACGAATAACTTTATGCTAAATAAGGTATATAGATTTGTCGATGTTTTAAATAGGTTGAACTAGTTGTGGTCACGAGTTCACTGGAGTATATCGATCTTATTGTAGACAGTTTGTTTAACTACCGCCATTCGAATGTGTTAATCGTGTATTAACAATGTAACAAATACGCAAGTGTAACAGTAACTATATGTGAAGAAATTTTTCAATTATAAATTACAGATACAAAATCTTACTTGTCGATTGCACTTAAGACGGACGATGACCATACTGAATTAAAGAAGATAATAATCGTGGATTTAGATGATAACATTATTTTGGAAAAGCCTGTAAAACCAATTAACATTAAAAATAAATTCTATACATCGGAACCTTTTGTGCCGCCAAATACTATATTTAAAGTTGGGGTTAGTAATCTTTTGGATAATAAATATAAATATTTTTATATTAAGTCTTTTAGGTTAATCTCTGATGATGAAAACACTGAACACAAACAAAATCTACACGAGAGGTACAGCGGTAGTTTCGCTATGTTGTATTCAAAACTATATTAGTGAAATGTGGTTCAGTCGCTGTCCCCATGACATCGAGAATTGAGAATATCTATAAATATCCCACGGGGATTAAAGTTGTTGACGTAGAATTTTGGTGCATCCAAAGATATATATATATTAGGTATATTTTTTAAATTGCTATAAATTTATTCATCTTTCAGATACTGGCCTACGATCCAAAAACGAACAAGACAATAAAAAGATTTGGTATAACGCCTATAGAACCACAAAAACCTGAATTAGGTAATTAATATATATTATTTTAACCCATGAAAGATATAACTCAAGTTGCTGTTATTATACCGTAGTTTACTTCTCATATATGTACATACTGAATTGCTGAAATAAATAATTACTATTCATTTTACGAATTGATAATTAGGGCTAAGTTTGATATACATAATAATATCAATCTATTTATATACAAAGCTTTTCATCGTTAGTCTTAACGTATTAAATTGAGTTGGTTTGTTTGCTAGAATTTCACGCTTCAAGGATTTATCCACTCAAACCACATAAAATTTGGCATAGCTGTAATATTTAGGATGGAGAAGGCTGCATTGTATTATGGATATCATTCAGTCAGATTCTAATATGCATTGTTTTATATACATTAGATCCTAGCCCTGAAAATTCGCCTCCTACCGTAACTATTTTGGATGGAAATGAACTAAGTGCTGACTATGGCGAATCTTTAAAAATAACCTGTAAAGTACATGGATATCCACAACCAGAAATTATTTGGGAAAATGCAATTTCATTTGCAGTCCTAGAAAGTAAAGTAAGTGTTTAATCCTATATTTAACATTAGTTATAGTTAAGTTATAATGTGTTTAAATAAGTAGTAGTAAGTTATAATTTATTATACATGAACCTAAACAACGGTTCCAAAGCAAAGTGGAAATTTGAAAATTATTAATAAATTCAGAAATTATACGATGACGTTATCAATTTGGTATGAAAAGTGAAAACCTTATTTTCAGATTTCTTCGTTTCTTAATAATAGTGGTTCAGCTTTTTCCCTAGTTTTCTATATGATTTTTTCTGTTTACATTACTTCTGTATAATTTGCTACAAATTAATATGTATAGTACTGAACAAATTTGCGTCGTGAACATTTCGGTCATATTTATGTCTGTTACGAAACAGCATCATTTTTACGCTATGTTTCCATTTGAAGTGATATTATAGTGCAATTACAAGCTGCGAAAGCATGATGCCTTAGTCCTTAGTAACTAATCATAATAATGATCAAATAAAGAACTACGGCCTTTTTGGATTAGAGGTTTAGCCTTTTCCTCATTATGTACCGATCTGAAGCCGATACTCATAAAATACAAGCATTTATATTCTAATTAAAATTTAATTAAATTAAATATATATGAAATAGTACAAGTAAATAGATAGCACTATTGCTATCTAGACCCAAACAAGCAGAACTTGGTCTGTTCTTTAGATTTTTTATTTATAATTACTTAATTTTAGACAACTGTACTGGAGCCTCCATATGACTACATAAGCACATTGGAAATAGACAAGATCAACGAAAATGTGACATATAGATGCAAAGCAAGTATCGATGGTGTAGTAAATAGTAAAGAGATAGAAATTAAAACAATAATGATGTACTATTTTGATATGATAGAGATTCCCAAAGGTAACGTTATTATACAAATAATTCTACTTTTATAAATAAAGAAGGAAAACTGAGAACAGAGGTAAAGAGAACATAAAATAATAAGTCTGTAGTGGCGCACAGAGAAAACATAAAAGCTAATGAGTTAGAAAGTAACAGCAATATTTTACAGGCCACATGGAAATTAATAACGGAAAGGAGCCTGCATTCTTTGTATCTTTACCTCTGATCTATTTTGAGGTTCTAATTACAACACTATTAGTAGGCAATCAAAATAGAAGTCACCAACAATTCATAGTATTGTATAAAAAATTGGACAACAGAACAATACCTACTTGAATTCCGAAATAGCTTCACATTACATACAGCAAAGAGTATAAGCCAGAAGTATCTGAAATGACAAAAATTAAACTGAATATATATAAAAAAATGTAAAATTGAAATTCTTCAATCATATATTAACTACCAAATCTTAGATTATTTTTAATATACTTCGTATATATTATTTTTTTTACTATAATTTTAATACTTAGCCATAACTTTTAATAGGTAATAGAAAAAATATACAAATTTATTTTTTATTCTTAAATAATGTACAATTTTACAATAAACAGTAGGATGTATATAATTAAAAGTATATTATTATTCTTGAATTAGATTTGGATATAGAATACAAAAGAGATGGTACAGTCAGTTGCAAAGTAGATGCAAATCCACCTGCGACTATAACATGGTATGCAAACGGAGAAGAAATACATAGTGATGGCAAAAATACAGAAATATCTGAAGAGAATTCAATTCTTACTATTAAAAACATGGAACCACACTTACAAGGAAGGTACATGTGCGAAGTCAGAAATGAATTTGAGAGAAATGTTACAAATTTCCATGTGAGAATTACTGGCCTCGGTAAATATTAACAATATAACAATATAATATTGTATTTTGAGTGCAAATAATACTTGAGAAAATACGTTATAATAATTGTTAACAGCGTTTCATTAAATACTCATTTTTATTTCGCAGAAAAACCCGTTATTAGTAAAGGGACGCCTAAAATTAATGTGCTGAAAGGTCGAAGTATTAAACTATCATGCAGGTAAATATTATTAAAGCAACGTGATCTATAATAGCCAAAGTTTTTTCAGTAACTAGAATAGTATACAAGCTGACAACCTAAATAATACAAAGGGGCAACTGTCGATCTAGTTGAAAATATAGTATGAATACCACCACAGATATTGTATTATAAATGTAAGGTTGTCGAGACGCTCATTAATTTCACTGCCATATATCATCTGCCAGACCAAAATACAGCCTACAAAACCAAACTGCTTTGCGACAGAAAGGATGACCAAGAGGTAAATCTCTCTCTTCCCAGCTATGTATCTCAGATGACGGTGGGGTCAGCTTTCCTTGTTCTCCACCACTTTACCTTGTCCCGGACATCGTCCTCATACTCCTCTACGCACTGTAGAGATAGAGGTCATTAAATATTTTTTAAAACCACTCTAGGATCACACGTGGTTCACCAACGCCTAAAATGTCTTGGATATTAAAAAAAGACTCTAATCTGTACGACCTACACCGAAACACTGAATCTTTTTATTTGGAGGATGTAACGCCTACACATAACGGAGTGTACAGATGCATTGCTACGAATATAGTTGGCGACGACTATCACGATATTGAAGTTACTGTAAACTGTAAGTTTTTATTATAGACTTTTAATAATAATAACCCTGGACAATCCACAAAGCGCCATTTAGTTCCTAGCTAAGGGTACTAAACAACTCATACTACTTTACTATATTACATCAAGAACTACTTAGATATACTTTATTGTAAATACATACAAATCACGGAAATCGTATTCAGCGAGCATAAAAAACCAAATGATTTTTAACTTAAATTTAATTTTGTAACCAGATCCACCAGAAATAAAAAGTATCAGCAGAAACTTACAAGCTGTAAAGGGTTCAAAGCCATTACTAATTTGTTCAGCCGATGGAGTACCAACTCCTCGTGTTAGCTGGTTACTAGATGATACCCCAGTAGCAATTGATGAAGATCATCAAATATACAGAGACAATAGCTTAAGGTAACAATTCTTTAGAAAATTCCATGATTTTAGCGGTGTATTGTGTTAACATATAATTCATTATTCTATGTATACAAAATGTTAATCTTATATATTGTCTTTACACAATAACTATATGTTGAAACTTTAGAGGAGGAGGAAAGATGTAAGTACGAAGTATTGACTTACCTTGTAATTAATGTATAAGTTGCAAATAAATACAAAACATTATAAAAAATACTATTGACTTTGGTTACATTTAGTTTGGCTGGAAGGATAACATTAGTAGTGAAAATGAGGGTTAATGAGCATCGGAAGACGGTGAAAAGGAATGTGCTCGAAGTTACTCTCCAGGGATCTGGAACCCACAGTGTGAATCCATGAAATGTTAAAAAATACGTTCGCATATATTTTTTTATGATTGAAATAAAAATATAAACTGAGTTGTTATGTTGTATTAAACTACATACAACTGTAAAATTCATTAGCAAGAATAATTTATCCAACAAAGATTTTATGAAGTTATGAACCTAATATTTGTAACGCTACTTTCAGAATCACAGCTTCAGAAGATAACAGTGGCATCTACACTTGTGTAGCGGAGAACAAACACGGCATAGCTAAAAGAACTATTCAAGTTAATTACATTGGTATTTTTCTTTCTCTTTACTATTTCTTAACAAATTATTAAACACTTTTATTAACTGAAATTATTGTAACTTTATAAAATGTTTCTTAATGTTAATTACTGGCACTAAGTGACCCAATTTTAAGACCTTACCAATAGTATCATCAAAAGTATATCGCTTTTACCAATACCTTTTATTTCTCATGGACATCATACTAATATTATAAATGCCAAAGTAACTTTATCCCTTTGTTACCTTTTTAAAACTAAGCGGCTATGTGAATCTTAATATGATTTGACGTAAAGATTGACCGTTTATCTAAAAATAACACGACAATGACGAAGCAGGCGAAGTAGCGGGCTAAGAAACTAGTCATGTAATACATATTTGAATACGAAACGGCTATTCTTGACAAATTTATTTTATAACATGTTACAATTCCAGAGCCAGTCACCATCAAGATACCTGACAGGTCCACAATTGACACCAAAGTGGGAAAAAATGTGAGTTTACCCTGTCATGCTGAAGGATATCCTAAACCTGATATCAAGTGGGTATTTTACAGCCTCAACCCTGAAGTACGATCGAAAATATTGGAGTAAGTATATCTCCTTATGTATTATTTATTGATTTAGGCGTTATTTTGCGGAAGTCCATTTTAGTAATTAATAATGAGTTTATATTATTTGTATAATTCCACTAACATAAGTATGTGGACATTACAAATATTCCTGATACTTATACCTGACCACCGATACTAGAAACATACAACCATTTTCATTTTTTTCACATTAGTGAACATTTAGCGTAGAGTATAAGATATAGTAAGTTATGTACGTATAACATTCTATTAAGTTTATCTATTGGGTGAATATTAATAATATTGTTTTCTGTTTTGGTAACACTGTATTTAATTAATATTACTTAAATGCACATATACATAGGTGCACATAGCGTATTTAATACCTTGAGGCATTTTCTTCCAGTCAACCACAGGGCGAACAGAAATTCATGTGGGTGGTGCATTATTACATATTGGTGTGGGTGATGCATTATCATACACATATTACTCTATAGGCACATATAAACTAAATCTTGCATAATGGAATGCAGTAGGTGAAGGTTCAAATCTCGCTTGAACATTTCATATTTATTCTAAAAATATTTCATGAGATTCTAGAAATCTAAGTCCCGTTATATTAATTAACCACTTGCTTTAATAAAATCAATTGGATTATAACTTGCAGGGGTGAGAAAGGCACTTTACTTCTGAGAACAATACAACAAGATCAAAGTGGATTCTACACATGCATTGCTAATAACACTGGAAGCTCTGGCAATATTACTTATGAAATTAAAGTATACGGTAATCATTGTATTACTTTCTGATTCTAGACATAAAACATCATCTGAATAACGATGTGTCACAATTAAATAGATAACAATAGTTTCAAATCTTGACATAATCCCCCATCATATTGTTGATGTAACTCCTTTAGAACGTCTATAGCGTCATTCATATTAAACTAATGAGCAGTAACATCAAAGAAATAGAATGGATGGAATAAAAGTGAAGTTAGCAGCATTTTTCAATAGACAAAGGACTCAATGAAACTAAAAAAATGTCTCTTATAAAAGAAAATAAGAAAATGTATTTAATATGACATCAATGCACGATCAAATTTGACTAGGATTTTGAAGTCTATTGTTGTAATTTCAGCCTATTTACTAAGCGCTGATATAGAATTATTGTATTATCTGTGGTATTATTATTTTGACTATTAGTAGTATGATAAAAAGATAGTTTTTCTTTCAAAAACTGGATCGATTAGCTTCAGGAATTGCTTGCATGCTTGTTTTTAGAAATGTTCTTTGAATCAATTGTTAATTTTGGCATTGTATTATTTACTTGTGTAATATTACAGCTCCTCCTGTTATAACAAATGCACATCCAGACAAAGTATATACTGCTGTTATGAAAGATTTAGTTCTACGTGTACCCTGCATTGCTACTGGTAACCCTAAACCAAAAATATCATGGTATCTACGTAGTCTGCCCGTTCCAAAAGGTAATGTGTACATTAAGTATAAACAATACAATACAATACAAATTGTGTACCATATTTCAGTATTAAAGTATTAACAATAAAACTTCGCTGTATTTTATAACTATGAATTTAATAAATTAGTAAACTTTCGTCTTTAGCGACAATTGTTTCCATTTTATCCGCAAGTTTTCTTCAGGGTTAGTTCAGCGCGTTCATTACAGCGAAAGACGAAAATAGTAAGTTCATTAAATTCCCGTACATAAATATAAAACATTAGTCCAATATTAAGACAAGTTTAAAAAAATATATCTCTGCTATATTACAAAAATTAAGAAGGAATCTCGATAACATATTTGGGTATTTTTGTACGTGCAAATTCAGATCAAGATGCGCTTTTGATTCGAATCCGAATATATTATTTTTTGCAGTATTTCCTACTATATTATTTACTATTCATAAATTTATATGTATACTTTCTCTTAAGGCGAATGGTACGATGTGGAAGAAGATGGAACTCTAGTCATAAAAAATCCCGATAACAACTCTGGTGGATACTATACGTGCAGAGCAAAAAACAAATTAGGCAGTGATCAGAAATACTTTCGCGTGGCTGTCAAACGTAAGTAAAGTAAATTCATAAATCCACTCATTTCACCTCTGAAACATGACAATTTCAAAATAATGAATTACCTCTAATTCATTATTTTGAAATTGTCATGTTTAATTTTACTATTCAACTTTTAAAAAAGTCGTATGCGCAGATATCTCTGTATCCCTTATTTCAGTCGATAGCAGTTTGTTTTTAAGCTGGTGCATAGGACATTATACAAAAATCCACTATTTTTCTATATTAATGAATGTATTTTTGTGGAACAAATAATATATTCTTGTTTCCAAAAACTTTTTAATTTTTTTATTCCCTTCTCGTAGTGCCTACTCATTAAATAAGTAATATGGCGTTTTCCCCGTATAAATTGAGATGTTAATTTACAACATTCGTGATAATTTGATAATTATTATTAATATTAAATATTACGATAATAAATAAAATTGTATTTAATTTGTTATAGGAGCTCCTGATGAACAAGTCCCTACATCTACAATAGTAATCAAAGAAAATGAGACAGTTCCTATTAAATGCAATATTCCTCATGATAAAGTTGATATGCTGCGATGGTTTAAGGTTTGTGACTGCCATTATCAACAAAGTAATTACTTTAAAATACAAGTGTAAACAGGACTCCATTTTACGCATTTAGACTCGTATTTGGATTTGTGTCTATAGAACTATTATAGCAGCCAAAGTTGCTGCTCTTCTCTTGTTGGCTCTTCTCCATTATAATACCATTAAACCTCAACCTCTGTACACTGACACTGCATAGATCCTATACTTATTATATATTATCTGAATCATTGTTTTATATTTTAGAATGAGAGAATAATATATATTGGAGAATTAACTATAAATAACGCTCAAAGAGCAGATACAGGTCTGTACACATGTCGTGTGAGTAATTTCATAGAATCTTCATCTTCTACTACGAAAGTAACAGTTGGTCTAGCTCCGAGATTTATTGAAGATGTCGAAACAGAATTCAATTATGAAGAAGGAACATTAATTTTTATGGATTGTGGAGTTGAAGGAGAACCGGCTCCTCAAGTAAGGAATAAATCTAAATATTTATATCTGGTGCCCGCGTAGTATGTAATTTATTCTATTCATTACTAACTAAATGATATTCTTTAGGAGAAAATTTAAAAAATATGTCATGATATTTTTAAGTCTATATATTACAACCAAGTATGGTAATATGAAATCAAATCTTTTTTCTAAATTATCAACAATTTAACGGACCTGGAAGTAATAATGAATTAGTAATGGAATATTGACACTGATATGAGAAAAATTGAAGAAAATTAAAATTATAAGAAAGGTGCATCAAAATCATTGTTATCACAATTCACAAGTTATTGTTTTTGAATTAAAATCACATTTGATTACAAATTTGAATACCTAAGGAACTCTTTAATGAATATACATATAATATCCAATAATTTTAAAAATTAAAAATAATTAAGCATTTCTAATAAAATATTAGTAGAAATGAATAATACAGAATAATAAGATAAAGAAATTTCAGGTATCGTGGTGGCACAATGATGATAAAATAGATGAAGTCGGGTCAACCTATGTTTTACAAATGGATACTACAAGTTTGGGACAATATACGTGTGTAGCTAGTAATGAAGTAGGCAGTGTTAAACGTACATTTACAGTTGTTGTAGCAGGTAGGTATATAGAATTAGATACTACATAGGTCAGAAGTACTCATTTAACTATTCTATCTATATATTAGGTAAATAAATTTTCATTATGAATAATAGCATTATTTTAAATTATATATTCAGATTGCTTGACTACAACGACTATTTATTATTATATTACAATTTTTAATTACATCCAGCCTCTTATCTTATCTTATCTTATCTTATCTTATCTTATGCTCATAGAATCTTCATCTTCTACTACGAAAGTAACAGTTGGTCTAGCTCCGAGATTTATTGAAGATGTCGAAACAGAATTCAATTATGAAGAAGGAACATTAATTTTTATGGATTGTGGAGTTGAAGGAGAACCGGCTCCTCAAGTAAGGAATAAATCTAAATATTTATATCTGGTGCCCGCGTAGTATGTAATTTATTCTATTCATTACTAACTAAATGATATTCTTTAGGAGAAAATTTAAAAAATATGTCATGATATTTTTAAGTCTATATATTACAACCAAGTATGGTAATATGAAATCAAATCTTTTTTCTAAATTATCAACAATTTAACGGACCTGGAAGTAATAATGAATTAGTAATGGAATATTGACACTGATATGAGAAAAATTGAAGAAAATTAAAATTATAAGAAAGGTGCATCAAAATCATTGTTATCACAATTCACAAGTTATTGTTTTTGAATTAAAATCACATTTGATTACAAATTTGAATACCTAAGGAACTCTTTAATGAATATACATATAATATCCAATAATTTTAAAAATTAAAAATAATTAAGCATTTCTAATAAAATATTAGTAGAAATGAATAATACAGAATAATAAGATAAAGAAATTTCAGGTATCGTGGTGGCACAATGATGATAAAATAGATGAAGTCGGGTCAACCTATGTTTTACAAATGGATACTACAAGTTTGGGACAATATACGTGTGTAGCTAGTAATGAAGTAGGCAGTGTTAAACGTACATTTACAGTTGTTGTAGCAGGTAGGTATATAGAATTAGATACTACATAGGTCAGAAGTACTCATTTAACTATTCTATCTATATATTAGGTAAATAAATTTTCATTATGAATAATAGCATTATTTTAAATTATATATTCAGATTGCTTGACTACAACGACTATTTATTATTATATTACAATTTTTAATTACATCCAGCCTCTCAGTATTCTTAAATAGGTATCCTGAGAGGCTGGATGTAATTAAAAATTTTAATATAATAATAATTATATCAAGTTGTTACATTTCAGATTGTTTACTAAATATTGAGGACGAATTTTACGGCAATCAACCTTTAATGGTAACTGAGGACTTCCAATTACCAACATATGATATATTTAATAAATATGTGCGAGTGCCTATAAATGAAGGCGTAATTTTATCATGTCCTGAAAGTTTCAATGTATTACGAGCAAGGGAGGTTATAGCTAGATGCGTGAACGAGTCTAATTTCGATATAAATGGTAAAATTTATAAATACTCTGATTTAAAATGTACTACCCTAGCTAAACCTGTCTTTAGAAACACAGGCCTGCATTGTGCTGGACCTAGAACCGAATCAATTAAGGTTGGTTATTTAGCACGAAGAGAATTTCTTGAAGTTTATGAAGTATGCTTGGATAAAAAAAAACGGATTCCGTTATACACCAAAAGTACTTTGAATTGGGCTATGGCTGGTATTGAATCCAAAGATGCAAAATGGACAAATTACGAATCTTTGCCATACGATTTTAATGCATTATATGATTGCTCAAATCAGATACATGAGATATCTTTTAAATTGGGTAGACGGTTCCATACTGATGACGGTTGCTGTTTTGCAAAAAGACAATTGCTTAGTTCAAAAGATGTAAGACCTGGCCTTCCACAAATTGCCACCTTTACCAACTTAAATATTATTCCCCAATGGAGTACTTGTGATTGGACGGTAGGTTTCTATAATTTATTATAATGATCATGTAATTATCAGCGTCATAACAGATATCTATAATATACATGTATTGAAAATTTGTCGAATGCTGAAAATTATGTGACTCTCAAATTTTTACTAAACATGCTTACGTTTTATTTATGTAGAATTGGAATGAAGTCGAGCAACGTGTAAGAAATTTAGCCAAATCTACGTCAGATAAATTGCTGGTTTGGACTGGTACTTCAAAACAACTGGAACTTCCTGGTGAAAGTTATGGCAATACTTCTATAAGTATAAGTGATGGTACTAATGAACAACCCATCCCACAATACATATGGAAGGTATGTGAATATGAATTATCAAAATGTACAAATGATTTATTATTTAGGTATATGAATTTAATTTCACAACAAATCCAACAGCCTGTCTATAGTAGATTAAAAAACATTACATTTGTATAAGCATTTCCATCACAGTCATACCCTCTCATATCGGTATTACTGTTTATGGTAGTAGATATTACGCCTTAAAAGAAATATTCCCCTATTTGTGTTTGTTATTTGATTAACACAACGTTTATATGTTACCTAATATGTAGGTTTAGAAATCGCACAGGGGTTGTAGTGCCAAATCCTACTATGTTAATTAATACAATATACACTCTAACAATTTTTTTATTATGTTCCCTCGTTCATGATTAAACTATTACGCAATAAATTGAAAAAACATGGTTAATTATTGAAGAGTTATGGTAATGTACGGGTTAAAAATAAAAAGCGTAATAAATGTGGTTTTAAGTTTGGAATTTATATCAAAGCATTTTATTTTCTCTTTCAAGCTTTTTTTTGTCCCATTATACAATGTGTGCGTATTTGCGATAGCAAATTATTTTCTTGTGACACAATATTTTCTTTTTACTCCTTTTTTCTGTATTACCTTAGTCCCAGAATTTGGTCCGAAAACCCATGTGCAATTTATAAATGTACATAATATCTAAAATATTATATAAACGTTGTCAATATCGAATATTATATAAGTGTATATCTCTTTTAGGATATATAGATAAAGTTGAGTATCAGATGGCCTAACTATTTGGTAGTTACTTAATCAAAGCAAATACAAATACCGTATATAATATTATCAGTAATCTTGGTTAATTTAGCAAGAATATTTTCTGTAAATAATTTTTCATTTTTTAGGTAGTCCAAAATTCTCCAACCAGAGAGTCGCTTGCTATCATCCAAGTCAATATTCCCGACTTGAATTCAGGGAATAAAAATGAACACATGCTTTGTCCAGATATTTGTGACAAAATCCCATGGATGGAAAACAAAGCCTGGAAAGATCCAAGCAGAGGTTTTGTTTATTGTTGCAACATTCGAGACTTTGAACGAGCTTTTGGGTTTGGTAAAGATTTCAGTATAAGTGGCGATAGAATTCTTTATGGCGTCTCTTTAATTTCTGTTCATTCTGTACTCATATAATTTACAATATTATTAAATTTTAGTGATGCCACAAATTAGTTTCATTTTTATAATTATGTATATTATGTTTAATGATCCGGTTGTTCAATTGTAGAAACTAAAACCGATTCAAAGATTGAATTATCCATGTCATTATCAGTAAAAGAACTGTCGGATAGATTTATTCGGTTTAGTCTTAATTAATCATATCACTGGATTAGATTGGAATCGGTCATTATTTATTTATTTAACTTGCACATAATACAAAATACAGTACATTTGCCGGACTTAACACTATGCGGCAATGAATTGATGAATGAATGGTGCTTTCTGCTGCGCTGACGGTTTACGCTAGCAGGGGGGGATGTTAAGATGAGCATGAGAGCAGGTTACTTAGCACATCCTTACCTTAATCATGACGGTTACCAGGGGGAAACTCGTGAAAGTCAACCTGATGAGTAATGGGGTCATAACTCCACATTGTTAACAATCCTACTTCCTCCTGTAATTGATATTGTTATGAAACTCTAGAGTAGACATTAAAAATAAGTTGTTCATTCTACAAATTCATTTTTAAACAAATCTGCAAATAAATAAAAGATATTAAACACAAATAAATCCGATAATGTCAATCATAGCTACAGCGATCATAAGTATTAGTTATATTGTTACTAATAATATTTATCGCAATGTATCAAATAAAACAATCGTTATTTTTAACTGTTGACTACTAACGGTAGATGGGGCGATGAAGGCCGCATCATTGACATTATGATCTCATAAACATAGGAGTGCCATTCGTTATATTACATCCATAAACAAAACGAACTGCAAAATGTTGCATAGGATCAATTTACTATGATTATTTCGGCATTTTTGCTTTGAGCGATAGTTCATTATCAAAAATCATAATGGCATATGGTTGAAAAAAATGTCAAGTTTCATAGGTCAAAAAGATAATAGATACCTATTTAAAATTGTTACAATGTTGGTATACATAGGCTACAAAAAATGGAAAAAATGTACATATCCAATAGGATACATTTTTTTTTTATTTTCCTAATAGCTAATAAACCAAAAAATAAATATTTAATCCCAAAAAATACCAAAAAATAAATATTAAAAATAAATTTAGTTAGTTTAAGAGAATCGGTTAGAAGGTGGAATATAAATATTGGTAGCTAAAAATTCAGTAATCATTACAACTTTGTAACTGACATAATCTTTACAATCGATCACAAACCAACAAAAGAGTTAGGTTTGTTTGAAAGTTACCTTGTTCGACTAGAATCTTATTACTTTATTTTTGAATTATTACATAAACTTTTTGCTTGTCAATAGTCTGAGAAAACATAACTGTAATAGTAACATAATTGTTATTTAATAATAAACAATTTATTAATAAGATTCTAGAATATTACTCAAAATTTCTTTATATTCTATTGTAATTACATATAATTTTAGTAATAAAAATTATTAAAAACTTATTATGAAGAAAAACTTATTGATATCATACCCGTCCAAAGAGATAAATGTAATAGACATAATTTACAACATGGTATAAACGATAAAAATCATAGAAACCATTCAAATGTCAACTGAACAGAAACGTGTTATATTCGACTTGTAAAAAAGGATTTCCGCAACATTTTTGTATTTCATTGCGTCTTTTGTTAAGTTACGTTATCTGATTGTACATTGATTGATAAGTATATACAAAACAATGTCGAGATGTTTTAAAGCACAATCAATAAATGCCAATTGTAATCACTAAGAGACTACGAACGTTAAAAGTTATCCGGATGTCAGGGTCAGGGACACACATGTCTAAATCTAATTGATTTTGCTTTGAAAACATTTAGCTGGTGATTTTGTATGTTACTAGATATCTCCCGTAGCGTTGCCTGCAAGAATTCCGGATGGTAGTATTGTATATGTTAACCTATAATTTAGAATAGAACAGAAAATTGTAAAATTAAAGTTGTATTGTTTACAATTTTTAGAGTGTGCATTGTATGCAATTTTAGCTTAGGACAAATTAGCGAATAGAGCTTAAGTACCTATAAGTCATTAATTATCCAAATATCACTGTAGCTCGCGGTTTTTTTTTCAATTGCTTGCTGACTGCTTCAACTGATTGCTTCAGATTTTTTTCTTTTGCCCAACTTGTGAGGCTCGTTGCGTAATATAAAATAGCCTATATCAGTTTCTAAGAACTTTACTATCCCATGCATTATTTTTAATTCAACTGGTAGTGCTAGATGTTACCGAATTTAAATAAAGAAACATACTCTCATTCAGGTTGTCATCATTGCATTAGCTTTATCCCATTATTTGGAGTTGCACAATATGTCAATGATCCACTGATCCCTATCGGCCTTGTACATTTATTATTATATTAGTGAATTATTTCTTTTATACAATATTGTTTATATACCTATTTTATACAAACACAGTGCTATCTAGTCCCAAGTTAAGCTAACTGAAGCTTGTGTTATGGATACTAGATAACTTATTATTATACATTGATATATTTTTAAATACGTACATAGAAAACACCCAGACCTGTACAAACAATCATACTCGCGAATATAAATGAATACACCGTGAGAGGAATCGAACCTGGACACGCCATTGGAAGTAAAGAGTGTGCTTAACCGCTAGACCACCGAGGCCGTCAAATAATATTAGGGGTACCCATTACTGCTTGTAGTCTCTAGTAAAAACCTCCGCAGGAAGTTAAGTTTCTCAACATCAATGTACTCTAAAGGAAATTCCTCTGAAACCACATTGTACGTGACCCTGACAAATTATCGTACTCCGAATACTTGTGGTAAATCGTTTCCGTAGCATCGTTTGCGCAAATACCTTAAATGATGGCCTCTGTGGTATAACGGTTTATAACATCGTCTTATTTCCGATTTTCGCGGGTTCAATTCTCGTACGATATAATGTATTAATGAGCATGATTGTTTGTATTGGTGTATCTAACTACATTATGTATATATTAAAACATATATATATTTCAGTATTACTATCAGTTGTGTAGTATCCATAGTATGTAACTAACCGTGCTTAGTTTGAGACTTTTTTTTTACAAAAAATATTAAAGTAACTATATTAAACTTGATCATAATAAAGTTAGCTAGGCGATAGTTTGTTTTTAATTAAAAATGTAAAGTTATAACGACTATTTAAAAGAGCAACACGCAAATTCACTCATTCATTTTTCTTGTGACGAGATATCTTTCCGAATGAGCGGTAGAATAAAAAAGGATGATTATGACTATTTACAAGTGCTTAAATTAAGTTTATTTGAAGAAAGGATTTTCTATTCTATTCTAAAGTTCATTTTTTGCTGATGCATGCTTTTCTTGACGGTTCACCAGGTGGTAAGCTGTAACCGTTTCGCCTATATACACGAATATAACTACGTATTTACTAGCATTTACCATCATGTGGGCCGTCAGATTGTTTGGTATTATACTACTTATAGCACGATATCATGTTATACCCACGATACACCTCATACGTTGTCATTCTAGAAGATTAAAATGTCATGCCTCTTAGCCTTAAATTTAATACAATTGTTTATTATGATGATTTAAAACAACCCCTATTCTCCCTTAGCGAATGTCATAATAATAAAATAATATATTGTTTAACATAATATTTTCGGATATATCACATACAATATTATTATAACTCCAAAAAAATAGTCGAATTGTTTATATTTTTAAATAATTTGATAAGTAACACGATAATAAAAACATCTATATAGTAACTTTAAAGTTACATCTAAACTTTTTAAAGTAAACGCAGGTATATTAACGGAGTCATGGTTGTTGCTTGATTAATATTGACTCATAAAACTGTGGTTAGTTATAAATTTGTGAATATAGCGATGAATGTGTCAGAATTAACCTTTGAACGTTTAATGCATTATATTTTCGTAAGCACTGATGACTACTTGTCAAAGTGCTTATATACAAACATACAAACTATCTAACCCCGCAAAATTTGTTTTGCCATAAAATTAAAAAATAGGGGTTGGTGATAGAAGATGAAATTTAGGATGCTATATATTTTTATTTAAATTATTAACCGGGTCTTAACACGAATAATTTTATGGCAAATAAAGGTTCTCTTTCGTTTCGACTAGGTTGCACTAGCCGTGGTCACGAGCTGACTGGAGTAACAGCGATGTTAATGTAGATAGGTTTTAATACCAATATATAAAAAAATTGTCTGTCTTAATAAAAAAAACCCTTGCTACTTAGGGGTATGAAAAATAGATAGTAGCCAATTCTCAGACCTGCTGAATATGCATATAAAATTTCATAAAAATCGGCCAAGCCGTTTTGGAGGCGTTATTTTATGGATGATAATAGAATGGTACACAGGCCTGCGCTAACGGTTTACGTTGGCGGGGCACCAGTGGAGGATGATAAGATGAGTATGAGAACAGGTCAGTTAGCCCATCGTGATGAATTCTCCAAGAACTTATCACTATGGTTTCCAGGGGGAACCGCGTCGTGGAGGTTAAGCTGACATGGTACAATGCTAGCAAAATGATTATCAGTCTACATTACTAACTTATTATTCCACATTGCTAATATTAAAATAATGTTTTCTAGTACTCTTCATGCATACCACCAATGAAATTAGTTAGTTTTATGGTACTAATAAAATTTTGCTTACCTTAGATTACATATTTTATAATCAAAAATTTATTACTAATGGTAAAAGAATGGTGGTAGGTGCCGGAGTTGTCAGCGCAAATTCGGGTAAGAGAAAACTATAGGACCATTTGTGATATGTTCCAGCTATCACCAAACATTCGATTTTATTCGGTAGTTTTTATGTAAATAATAGACATCCAAACACTTATACATCTACACAAACTTTCTCATTTATAATATCAAAAGTGATACACCTGAAGATTATTATCATCATTACATAGTATAAAACAAAGTCGCTGTCGCTGTCTGTCCCTATGTATGCTTAAATATTTAAAGCTA